AATATATCTTAATAGTAATAAACTAGTACTTTATATAGTTAATATAGTAATAGTGTTTAATATAGTAAGATTCTTATAATCTATTACTATAAAGTATATATAAGAGGCACTATAGATATACTAGATTAATATATATCTTAGCCTACCTAATTAAATAATAACTAACGTTAGCCTAAATTTTTACTTTAGTAAGTTTAAATATACTACCTATAGGTTATCTATTAAAGTAAAAGAAGTACTTATTAAAGCCTATTATAGTATTAGTAAAGTTAAGTACTATTATATACCCTTTTACTATACTTATAAGATTATTTATAAAGAAACTAGCGCTAAACCTAAAGTTACTCTTTAACTTATTATTAAAGTAATTAATAATACTACTAGCCTAGATAGCCTTATCTTAACTTTCTTTATTTTTAGTATATACCCCTAAATAACTAATAAGTTACTATTTACTATAACTACTATATTATATACTAAAGTAATTAAGAAAGTAATAACTATAGTACACTAAATCTATATAAAGTAATAGCTTTATAAAGCACTAGCTATATATAATAGCCTAGATTTAACTAATACTATTACTTTACCCCTTTAATCCTTTATCTATATATAGTGTAAAAAATATAGCTAGTAAGGCCTATTTTACCTTATTACTAATAATAGTACTACTTATACTATTAATTTACCTTATAGCCTATATAACTTTAGGATTACTATAGTAAAACCTTACTATATAAAGGAAGGTTAACTAGACCTCTTTACACTAAATAAACCTACTAGCTACTTTATATAAGTAGAAGATAATCCTATATACACTATATAAGCATAAGAAGACCTTATAAAGATACCTAACGCTAAAAGGGAAGTATATAATACTATTATTATTAATAATAAACTACTATAATAACACTATAGTTACTTATAAAAGAACCTAATACTTACGTTTTTTATAAAGATATACTTTACTATAACTATAGTGTTCTTAACTATAAAAGAGGAGGTAGACTATATACTTACTATTAAGCTATATAAGAAAGGGATTATTACTATACTTAGTAAACCCTTTAAAGAATCTAATAAGGTAAAGGTAAAAGCCTTTATTAACTATAGTGTATTTTATATTATTACCTATAACAAGAAATCCTATAGTAATACTTATATATTTAAATTATATATAGTCTATAAAGTAAAAGGTAAAAATAAATAGCCTTATAAGAAATTATAGCTTATTATCTAAGGCTATATAAATAATAGTAAAAAAATAATTCTTATATAGTTGCCTACTATTTAGTAAATAGCCTAGTAATTAATACTTACTTTTGCCTTTTTACTACTTTAATATAGATTTCTCCTTTAGTTATATAATATTACCTAAGCGTATACTTAATTAGTAATACTACTAAATTATATTATTTTTACTTACTTACCTATATAAATTTACTATTTTTACCTAGTAAATATAATAATAATAGTAACTAAGCTATTATATAGTATTATAAAGGCAAAAACTTACTAGTAGGTAACTTATAACTACTATTATAGAGAGAATCTTTAGATAAATTTATTAACCTTTAACTTTTACTTATTAATATTATTACTTAATAATAGTAACTTTAGATTAATTAGTATATAAATAGATAATATAATTAGCCTTATAGATAGTAAATTCTTTACCTATAAAGAGAAGAAGCTTAAGAAGGCTACTTTTATAGTAAAACCTAAGTAGTTACTTATAACTAATAACTTTATTACCTTTAATAGTAGTATATTATCTATTACTACTAATAATAAGCTTACTTTTTACTAGAAAGGCTAAGGCAAAAAGCTTTAACTTATTAATAAAAAATTACCTACTGCCTAGTAAGATTATATCTAGTAATACGCCTATAGTATATATATTACTTCTATTTATTAACCTAAAGCTTACTTTAACTATTTAGTTACTGCCTAATATTAATTACCTATAGTAGAGGAGATTAAAGCTCTAAACTACTATATTAAATAGTAAATTAATAACCTTAACTATAGTCTATAATTCTTACTAATTAACCTTATAACTACTAAGCTCTTTATATTTATTAATAGCTTTTTTATAAATAACTATAACTTTACCTCTTAACTTAGCTTTATTATAGTTCTTACTAATAAATAAATTATTAAGTAACCTACTACTAATAGTAAAAGCTTTAAGTTAACTAGTAATATTATTTACTTTAGTTTAATAAAGTATAAAAAAGTTATATATAGTATACTTACCTCTAAGGTCTATAGGATAGTTACTAGTGCTAATATTACTTATATAATTAGTACTACTCTTATAATAATTACTAACTGCCTTAAACTACTATAAATACCTATAATACTCTACACTAACTTATACTTGCTTTATAAGTGCCTTATAAAGCTTAGTACTATAAAAGAGAAGTAACTTATAATAAATATTATAGCCTTTTACTAGTTATATAAATACTATAAGATTTTTAAGATATAGTAGATTTATAGTAGTAATAACCTAGTAAATAAGTTTATAAAGTTATTACTAAATAATACATTAGAGAAGTTAGTTAGTAATAGGTAGTTAGAGATATAAATAAATAAATAGGTTTTTTATATATAATAGACTATATAAGTAAAAAGTATTAAATACTTTTTAGCTTCTTGTTTTTATTATATTTTTTAGCTATTCTTTTAGATATAAATAATAGGGGATTTTTAACACTATAAAAAGTTACTAGTGTTATAATATTAACTATTATAGATAAATATTAGAGTTATTAGGTTAACCCTAATAACTTATTGCTAGTAAATCCTTAGATATTTAGCTATAGATTCTCTAAGAATTTATAGGTAATAAGTTAGTTATTTAACTAACTAACCTATAATAATTATCCTTCTTTTCTTTATGTATAATAGAGAACTATAGTTACCCTCTATTATTTATTAATTACTACTAATATATATAGTTAACTATATTAACCTATCCCTTAGTGTTACTAATAATATACTTAATAATAAATACTTAGGCTTATAATTTAAGCTATTTTTTTTACTACTTTTATTAAAGCTTTATTTAGTATTAGCCTATTATTACTTTTATTTTTAAGAATACTAGTTTTATCTATATTATATTTATTAGCTAGTTTAATAGCTTAAATATAAAGTATAATAAGATATTTAAACTAGTCTTTAATAACCTTAGTAAATACTTTATTAATATACTTTAAATTAATAAATTAACTTCTTTAGACCTTAATAAATAAGTTTTTTTAAATAAAGCTATTTACTTACCTTTTACCTAGAGGTTAAGTATCCTCTATAGCTTAAAAGATATAATAGGCAAAGTCCTTTAGTTATTAATAGGTTAGTAGGTACCTAAGGTCTACCTAGGTAGTTACTTAACTAGCTAGGCTAGCCTCCTAGCTAGTTAAAAGCCTCTAGAGGTCTTTAAATACTACTTTCTTTAGTTAGGTCCTCTTAGTTAATACTAGAGGGTTATTTATAGAATACTATAAATAAAAGCTACCTAAATAATACTATAACTATTTTAAATAGCGTTAATTACTTAATTAATCTTATCTTTAGTATACTAAACTATTAATATATAAAGAAGGTATCCTAAAAAAATAAAGTAATTTAATAAAGGTTAAAAAAAGTAGTAGTAGTTTAAAGTTATAGATATAGTTGTTAATGGGGTGGCTAGGCGGCATTTTTGGCATGCTGAAATGTGGGGGGTGCTGAAAAGTGGGTGGGTTGACTTATACTGCATATTTGTGGCGAAAAGTCTGGTTTTTGAGGGCGAAAGAACCTTAATGATGACAAGACACGATACCCAAGAGGAATCGGATTACGAAGCCGCGGTCAACAAAGGGTGTAGTGCCTTACGGACAGGCAAACTGCAAGGAAATGCTGGTATAGTCACAAACCATGGTCAAACTGCCATGGGAAAGAGATGCGAACGAGCGGCAATGATGACCCCTGTATTTCCCACCCGAGGCTCTCGTACACTGAACCTTGCCTTACAACCAGGCGAACTACCTTTATAGTTTGGTGGTAAGTAAGGGCCACGACGAGGCGTTTTCACGAAAGCGAGCATGGATGGGGAAAATTATTGGGATATTTGTACCCTGTTATTATACCGCAAAACCCAAAAGACATGGTAGTGTAAAAGGCATTTCCGAAATTTGGCTGGCTGTGGCTGAACGAATGGACTGCACAGAGCCATTGTGTTGCTTGAAGGCCAAGCTTTGGTGTGAGGATTGACGCAGTTGATTGACGCAGTTGACTAACAAGATGAAAGAGGGAGTACTTACCTACAGTATCTTTCGCGCGTTTGTTCTACATAAATGATGCTTCAGTACAATGCATGCGACAACAAGAATCTGAGCTTAGCAACAGCAGTTTTGTTGACGCGCTACCATTTGGTAACTTACCCTGAGGTATGATGGGCATGTGAGTGAATCACCTTGCCTTAAAGGAATACAGCAGAATCCCGAATTAGGTGAGATTGGACACGGGTGTCTTGCTTACTATCGGCGTATCATTGAGGGCCGACAGGCTTGATCGTCACAAGTTGGTGCGTTATAATCAGCCACTGCCCTGCCATAGGCAAGAAAACTCTCAGGTATGGCTCCCTGGTGTCCACAAGGTTTCTGCAACGCTAACTTTACCCAGAGCGCATGGGACAATACTAGACAATCTAGTTTCCGATGAAAGGTAAACCTCACCTCTCAAAAAGGTTGTCTCCTCTGCTTTCGTTCACACGGGCGAACTTTGGGGGTATCATCTCAATCTTGAACTCATTAGCTGCTTTCCGGCGGATTTATAGCATGTCACCGCTCCAGCCTCATTCTACGCGCTCGTAAACCTACATAGTGTACGTCAACGATGTGGCGCATCAACTCGCACGCGAGCAGATTGCTTGCCAAGCCGGTTTTACTGACAACTGTTTTGAACGCTGTTCTTAGTTCTTTAAGGTCGCACACGAGCGGGATCCGTCTCAGTCTCAGACTGCAAGTGGCAGTATGATCGTGTTTGGTAGTGGCAAGGAACAACCCGCCTGTGGCATCTCGCTCCGCCCCTGTGGCGAAGAGATCTTGGAGGAAAGTCACGGATGGCGAGTCAGTGACAAGCGTTGTGGAGTCTCCGACGCCCACTCGGCCCCAAACCCGAGAGCTGGACGGGCACGGTCTTCGGATGTGGACGTGGGCTCAACGGCCGTGTTTATCCAGCTATTTGCATTTCGGGTCATCCAAACTAAACATGCCGGACGCCGAGACAAGCTTACACACAGGCGCTTCTATTGCACCGACTACTCAAGAGTAGACGACAGGTGACATTGTTAGCATTTAAAGGTACGAGTATTCTTCGGGGCTGGTATCACCAAAGACCTCCTCTCCTTGCTATTCGTTGCCAGCATCGAGTACATGGCATAACACTAAGTGACCTCGGAGTCTTGCCTCTCGCTCCCCAGCTCGCAATTGATATTAGAAGTTTTTTTTCTCTCTTTTTCTTTTTTAATCTTAGCTGCTCATTGTATCGTAGATCTACACTACAAGACGTTGATACTACCTTTGACAGGATTTCTGATCCATTTGACTAGCCGCATTTGGTCTCCACGCTTTGGGGTTACATCGCGATAATATTATTCATGGCACCCACTTTTGACTCATAACTCTCTAGATATACTATGGAAAATGAGAAGCTCGAATTCCGAAGCAATGCCAGTCGCCGACTTTGACTCCATGGGCAGCTGTGTCAAGAAAATAGTACCAGGCCTTGCTGCTAACATCAGACTGAACGAGGCAATCCAACACACGGTGTCCATTTATCACCGGGTGTGTGGAAACCTTTCATGTCTATCCAACGCGAATTTCAAGTAGGAAATCATTTATCGACAGAAGGTTGTCATCATTCAAACGTCCACTGGGCTAGATGGTGAATAGAAGATTTCTGGGCTAAGACCGACAACTTACAAGTTGGCGAGAACATTCAACGAAAAGAAATCCCGGCGAAAACGAATATACAAGAGGCTGAAAGAGCAAATTAGCTCGAAGTTGTCTAATTATACATCATCGCATGCAAATTACTTTGCGCAGTGATAGGATTTTAATACACGAATGTATTTGAATAGTGTATAAGTACTATCATGACGTATCATCATCAACGCAAATACATAAAAAGTGGCCTATTTATTGTGCCACGTTCCAATCATTAATGAGCCACATTGTTTGTTTAGTTGTGTCGAACCACCTAGTCCAAACATATAGTCCCGGGGCAATCGTCCATAAATCAGCATGTCGTTTTAAATAGGGCGAACTTTTGTAACCTCAACCTCGCGTATCTGTCATCTTCCAATGTTCTTATGTTAGTCAAAGCTTCCGGCATCAAGCTGGAGATGAAATCAGACGAAACTTGAAGGCCCACCGGGCTAATCATGGAACAGCAGATGTGTTATGGCAGCAACCGGATAAACGGATAATTGCCGCAATGCGCGCGAGGTCCAATTCATGCGTTCGGCACGTCGCCAGGATCAAGTTTGTACGTGGCATGTCGTATCTAAACATAGCCTGCTATGTCCAGAAAATAGCTTGGTTCATCCGTCTATCTGTATAGGTGGTGTGTGGCCATCACGCTGACTGCAAAGGCGGGGGTCAACCCTGCGCATTGTGTCAGAATCTGGAAGGGGGCTTCACCCGTCGGACTAATACACTCCACCTAAACTGGCATCTCGACGTCTCTGCTTTATCGCACGGAACAAAGTATTCCTAAAGCCGTTCCTAAAAGACTGACCCTATTGTGGTCGACGTCTCCGACTCCACCGGTGATTGCTCCCAAAAACAATACACAGACGTGCATATCGATTCACTGTGCTAGCGCTGAGCGCGTGCTACCTAGACTCATCGCCGTCGTTCCTCGCGTAGGCGAGCCTCGACTTCGAGACAAGCATTGCTTTTCTTTCTTATCAAAGCAAGCATTCATCATGGCCTCAGCCCCGAGAGATGCAGTGCCGGCAAGTACGGCAGCATATCCAAAGGTTTGATCAATCCTCACAAATGCATACCCGAGTGCGGTATGGAAGGATACTAGAGTGACCGTGCCACGTGCCGCGTCTCCTTCCTCGACCCGACTTCCATTATCACAGCTCTCACGTCTAGCCCCTTTCCAATCTAGATATCTGCTTGTCTATGGCAAGGCTGTTCCTTTGCTGACATGGCCGTTCTCTTTAGTCCTGGCCCGTCTGGTGGCGTGTTTGCATGCTGGCATCTCTCAGCTGGTTCGTCATGATGGGTCAAGTAATGAGCGCCTCGGTGCCGCCCATGCTAGGCTCAATTATACAAGACTTTCACGTCAGCCCGACTGAAGCATCTCGGCTGGCCTGCTGGGCTATTCTCGCACTTGGCTTTGGTGTAAGCATCTTGCCCCTAATACTCACTCCTGTCCTCCCTACCTATGTCGTCCTCCGTCGTAGCCTTTTCTGACGCGCCATGACCAGAATGTCTGGGCGGTGCCCATGGTCGCGCATATCGGTGTCAGGTACACCATGATATTGGGGCTTACAGTCTTCACTGTCTGCTTTTTCTGGCAGGCCGCGGCGCAAACGTACGGTTCCCTGATCGCCGCCCGGGTGGTCGGCGGCCTGGGAGGCGGCGTCGTCGAGTCGATGGGCCCCATGATCGTCGTCATGTTGTTTCCGCAAGAATACATCGGCCGCGCAATGAGCGTCTACACCTTGGCGCTCGGCGCCGGCACTGTCTTTGGGCCTCTTTTCGCTGGCTACATGATCGAGGGGTTCGGAAGTTGGCGATATCCGCAATACCTTTTCGGCGCCATGTCGGTCCTGAATCTGGTCAGCAGCCTCGTCATGTTTCCAGAACCCCTCGCCAACATTCGCATCATCGGCGAGCCTCCACTTCCAGCCGTGTCAAGTGCCAGGTCCCAGAGCCACGAACTAGAGCTTGTCGGCTCCAAAGACGCCATGACAAGCCAGGAGCAGGAGTTCGGTCCCAACATTGTGCCCGCCGAGGAGTACCCCCCGACCTCCTGGACCATTATTTGGTCACGGCGGTCGTTCTTCTCCCGTTTTGTATATCGCCACCCACCTCCAGGCTGGTTGGTAACGCTGTTCACGCCCTACCGCCTCTTGGCTACGCCTGCTGTTCTGATCACCGTCCTGATCTTTGGTGTTTCCATTTCATCTAACATTGCCGTATCCACTCTCGTCTCCCTAACATTCTCATTGCCTCCGCTATTATGGTCTACCGGCCTCGTTGGATTGTTCAACACCAGCGTCCTTGTAGGACTCTGCGCCGGCATTCCCATCGGTGGCTTGATGGCTGACAAGTTGGTCTCTCGGTTCAGCAGACGCAACGGCTACCACAAGCCCGAAGCGTCCCTGCCGCTTCTAGTACCACTAGCTATTTCGACGCCGATCTCCATCGCTTTAGTCGGCTATGGACTCGCCAAACAGTGGCATTGGGCCACCATTGGTGTGCTCTGGGCCCTTATCAACGTCAACCTTACAGGTGGCTGCACGATTCTCATCTCGTACGCGACTAACATCTACCCGGAAAAGGCCATCGATATCGGTGTGGTTGTCAATGTCCTCAAGAATGCCATCGGCGCTGGTATCTCCCTCGGTCTTGTCGATTGGTGGCTCAAATCTGGGTGGCACGTGTTCCTTGCACTTGCTCTCATTGAGGTTGCCATCTTTCTCTCTGTAGTACCAATGTGGTTCTATGGCGCCAAGATCACAGGCGTAACAAGGTCATAGGCATGGTTCCAGAGAGGAAACTTAAACTAGGAGTATCAAACAACAGAGCCTTGCTTGTGGTGGCTTTTCCTCTAAGTGATAGAACCAAGATGTTGCGATTGCTTTGGTGTGACCTTGCATGGAATGCGTTATCGCTCGTATCTTGCATCGCTGCTTCTTTCTTGGCTTCACGAAATGTTTGGTTAAAAATTATGGCAAAATACCAAAATGTCTTGTATACAGGTTTTGTCGATTCAATATGATAGCAGTTCGATATAACTCAGCCTCATCAGTACAGTGTAATACTCATTGGGATCTCTTGATAAGAAAGGTAGAGCAAGATGAAGAATTGTTTGCGTACATTTATGTTTGTGTACATTTCTTTTCAGCAAAACTTTACTTGATAACTGAAGATAATAACTTTCCGTTGACTATCCACCTCAAAATGGCCGTTATTTTGCAAACCTGTGTCTTGAGAGAGGCAACATTGCCTAAGACTTGCGGGTTATGATAGATTTCACTTCGAAGTCCTGGCTGACGAGAATGGCCGGCTTCCCTTCAGCTCCATGGTTATATCCTGTCTCCTCAAGACTCGAATTAGACCTCCCCTCACTTAGCCGGGTGAATGGACGCTCGTCGTCCTGCCCATTCCCAGGGCAGCTCCCCTTGACTGTGAGGTGGTTGACAACCTTGGAGCCCAAGGAAGTGCTGCCATAATTCGTTGTACGACTGGAAACAGCGGGGCTAAGAGAGGCGTTTCCGTGGTTAGGACAATTACCCTTGACCGTGATGTGGATGTCACCAATGGAGCCCAAGTGGCTGCTGCCAGAGCGGGCGCCAAATCTAGCCCCATTGCTTAGTGCGTAAGATCCACAGCTCTCGTCTTCCTTAGTATTGGACGACTTCAGCGTGCCGTCAATCATCAGGGATAGTAGGGGCTTCAAGGATGGTAGACAAGCTAGGGATCGCAAATGTCAATCAAAGAGAAAACTGGTAGCTTAAGGTGGTTTCGAAGACCCGAAAGGTGGGTAATAACATACCACAAACGATTGCAATATTGGCTTCGACATTAGTCCAAATGATTGTGCTGCAGAAGTTCCACGTGATATCCGGGGACTTGAGGTCGACAGAGAGGATCGTCTGCAACCGTACAATCGAGATTATGGTAACGCTGCGAATTAAAGTACAATTAGTATCTAGATCCTTGAATGTACTTAAATACTCAAAATGATAGGATTGTTTTCCTTACAAAGTACCCAGCAAGAAGACACCAAGCAGTGCAAGTTTCTGGGGTCTGGACATCTGGAGTGCCAGTACGTAGGGGATAGGCAGCATCACAACAAAGGCGTCCGTGATGATGTTGGGGATTGAATTTCCGTTGAAGAACATGTTGACATTGACGCCACAATAGAACTCTGTGGGCGACATTGGGCTCACAGGGTCGTAGCGTTCCCAGAACGCATGCGTGGGAATACACTGAAAGATGGAGACGAGGAGCTGATGGATTGGTCAATGTCGCGAGCAGCCAAAAGGAGGACGGAAGTGGCGGATACTTACAACTGCAATGCACCAAGACATCACCACACCGAACAAGATCCAGATCAGGATTCTAATGCTCGGCCTCGCACCGAAAATGCGCCAGTAGAACATGAGGATTGAGCTTTTGATGGTCGTCAAGGTGATCGTATAGGCTATTTCCGAGATGAAGAGACCAAGAGCCCATGCTTTGGTTGCTACGGGAGGTCCGACCCAGACATGCTTGCCGGTACCATTAGGTATCACTTGATTTATGACGTTAGCAAAATATTGGCGACGAATGGTATGAGATATGTCAGCCCTTCGGGAGCTCACTACTTACTCAACCCAATAGTGATGAAGACATGGACGCCCGCGGCCAACTGTGAAGAGTTTTTGTCAGTATGGCTGGCTGCTGCAGATTGAATCCATGGGAGGGAGCGAAGAAACAAAGCAGAAGGAGTAACACGTACTAGCGAAACGACGATGATCCAATCCTCCGGCCATATTTGGGTTTGTCTGAGACGACGGGCGAAGAAACGGAGCGAAACTGCAATGAAGGATAACGTCCATGTAGCAACGAGGATACTGGTGACCTCGTGGACCCGCGACTCGCCAAGGTCGAGGCCTTCCGGAGGGGGAGGTAGGGCCATCTGAATGCCGTCCAAGGAGGAGATGGCCGCGTAAGGGAAAACTAAGATCTTAGGCTGCTTTCACATCAGCTGAAATGATAGTGGCGAGCCCTACGCCTTATGCGTGGGGTGACGTTGAACATATGTTATCTATGTACTGCATGACGATCTCGGCGTGATGCTAAAGAACCCCTTTCTGTAGGCACTTATGCAAGAGATGCCATCTGTTGATCTTAACAAGCTTCTATAAAGGTCACAGCCGTGGTACGGCGCGTTACAACATGATTGACGGATCAGTGGGCGTGGTAGTATCAATGTGTCTCCAGCGTACGGATACAAACATAGCCTACAACGCCGCCTTGCTCAAAGGAAGTAGTGGATCATAACCCCAGGTGTTATTCATGGTTCATGACTCGCAGCCTCACATCTTCACTCAGCCGGTGCAAACTGCTGATTGATATTTCTCCAAGTGGATCAATCACTGTCACGTGGTTACACTGCGTAATAAGCACATGAGTATATCAGCCCTATAGCAAGTTGCCTGACTGCGAGCACCACTCGAGAGCAACAACGAAGCAGCAGAAAGAGGTGCTGGAATAAAAAGCTGCCAAGCGACATGCAAGCCAAAATGATAAGCCACAGGGTGCCTGGGGCCATATCTCGACAAGGGTGTGTATTGCTGGACGGAAGCCCCTTATTGAAAAGAACAATTACTACCCAACGCTGTAGCCAAGATGGAGCTTTGGGTCCATATATATCCGAAGAATGGTTTGATTGGTTGCGATCTTCCCCATGTCCCAGACGTCGGGGATCCTGACTCAAGCCATGTCTAAGGAGCCAAGGAACAAAACCTGATTATTATATGTACACCGGCAAGCGAAGTCCTCAATTCTTTCAGGACCCGTCGAGCAGATGGGAATTGGGACCGAATAAGTATTAGAAGGTTGTATAGTTTCACAGCTCTCGATAGCTTCATAGTGATGTACGTCTTTGCTATTTCGATCTATGGGGGGTTGCCCTTGAAGACATGCAAATACCGTATACGTACTTCGTCCTGTTATGGCGCCTATTTCACCTGTTATTGAACACCAAAAAGGACGGGGCCAGCTCTTCTCTACGAGAACAAGCATCGTGGGCGAAAGCAGATACATTCCTCGCAGTGGTGACAGTCTATTTCTTTCTCCCGTTTCCCCTCTTTTTGGGCGGGGGGGCATCTATCCACAGATCACCTTTGCCGAATGATTTCCCGTGTTGCGTCTTCTCCCCACTGGTCTACGGGTGCGATCTCGAGGGAAACGCACTGGCCATTTACCTGTGTTGACAGAGATTAGATCTGGATGGTTTGGCCGGATGATTATGAACAAATGGTGCGTTGTTCAGCCGTTCAAGGGCGGGTCGAAGAAGCTTACGAAGAGATTTCAATGCAATGATGGTTTCAAATACCTGGTACTTGATGGAAAACACAATTATTATTGTTGTTTTAAATACCGCACTATCGGGGTCGGAGCTTAAACCGAGAGAGCCAGACTTGTTTGATTGGAGATACTACCTTACTGCCGACGACGATATAGCCCGGATCCGCACAAATGGGTCCTTTGCACTCTTCCAGTTGCACAAACTTGACTGGGCTTTGGCCGAACCCTGGCCACCGCCGCTAATCCTTCAACAGCCGACTGACCCATGTCCCTGTTTAGGTTGGATTGGACAACATTGGTGGGTAGCAATACGGGACTACCGACGAGCAACCTCACGTTCCAATTCATATATCATGCTTTAACTCACCTAGGTTTCGTATGTTCTTGGTCGGATACATCATGCAAACTCAGCCCCTGCGTTGACACGCCCCACCGTTGAAACTCGTCCTTTCTTTCGTCGTCGAGGCTCTCATCCGCCATGTACTTCTCAACTTCGATACTCTTTACTTTGGTCGTAGCAGCCGCCGCCAGCCCGATGTCTCGGCAACTCCCTACGATCTTGTTCACGCCCGGCGCTTGGCACCGGCCATGGGCCTTCGACCTGGTGCGTAGTGATCTGTCCAGCCGCGGCTACCCAACCGCTGCCGTGACTCTGGCCGGCGTCGGGAGTACGGATGCCGACTTGGGCCTCGACCAGGACACTGCCGCCGTCCGCGCCCAGGTGCAGACGCTCGTCGATGAGGGACGCGATGTCATCGTGGTCGCTCACTCCTATGGCGGTATCCCCGTCGCGAACGCTGTTAAGGGCCTCAACTACAAGGACCTCGTCGCCCAGAACAAGCCCGGCGGCGTCATCATGGTTATTTACATGACCTCCTTTGCCCTTTCCGCTGGCACGAGTTTGTACAACGGTGGAGACAAGCCCGCATGGTGGAACGTCACGGTAAGAACACACGGAGATTCCCATAAAGATACAGCCGCGGTCAGTGACTTCAGGAAGGGGCTGACTTTTACCCTTTTGTGCTACAGGACGGCTTTATCTCGCCAGAAACCCCGCTGTCTGTTTTCTACGCCGACGTTGAGCCCGCGCTTGCCGCCAAGGCGGTGGCCGCTCTGCTCCCCCAGCCTTTCAAGACGATGACAGACAAGTCCGGCTACGAGCCTTGGAACAACGGGTTCGAGATGGGTTACATCTTTGCGGAGAACGATCAAGCCATCTCCATCGAAATGCAGAAAAGCATGGCATCTGCGTTCCCCGCCTCCTCCTTCACGGCGACTCTGAAAGCCAGCCACTCGCCATTCCTCAGCATGCCCAAGGCCCTTGGCGACGTTCTGCAGCAGGCAGCGGAGGATGCCGTGACCAAGAGGGCAGCCGCCTAAGCTCCGCCGTCCTCGTGTGATGTAAGGATGCCACGTCAGCCTACAGTTATGGAGTTAAGAACATTGTTCTCAGGAACTAGTAATATCGGATGAATTATGAGTCTTAGGCTTCCTTAACATTCATGTATCTTACTTCTTTTTAGTCATATTAGTAGAAAGGAAAACGAAGAGGCTCACGTGGTACCGCACTCTATCATTCACCCGCGACGACAAGTCTTCCACTAGAGCTCCGACGCATGATTCTGCAATCTTTAGCCGACGTCTCGACTTCCGAGGAACTTCAGCTCGCCATCTATGCAAGTGTTTCGAAAGAATGGCAAAGGTTTTTCGAAGCGTTGCTCTAGCAAAAACTGACCTTCCAGCCCTGTCTTTCAAAGTCGGACTTTCAAGGTTTTTGCGAGGGTTTCCAAAGTCATGAAAGATGTCTCACTGAGACCATCTCACTTTATCTTGGAATGGGAGGAATACCTTGGCCATCATTGCCCTCGGACGATCGGGAGCCAACATAAGCTCGGAGAGAGAGAGAGAGAGAGAGAGAGAACTTTTTGAGCGGTCAAAGTTCGAATCCATACAAGTGGGGATGAAGTTTTAGAAGAGTATACTTTCCTTGACCACATGCCATGATTTCTATGTTGCGAGGCAGTTTCATTTTGCCATGAAGAGAAAAAGGTAGGCCCTATAGTTGGCGCCGGAGAGAAAACGTCAGGCTAGCTAGCCAAATGTGCTCGAGACTATTTCTTGTTCGATTCGCGATTCATGAACGCCTGGCAAGGCGTAATTACGGGGGTTTCCCCACTGATTGCCCGCAGATCGTAAAACAGTTTAAAAAGAGGGTTCAGTTAAAAAGAAGGGTCACATAGTGTCTCCGCATCTAGATTTTGCCGACGCATACCGCCATTTTACCGCCAACTAGCAAACTCCAATGATGATTGAGAAAGCAACTAACGATCAACTCTTTTCCTTCCCCCTGCAATATGATCACTTTACCAAGTTCGTATTCCGATGTTGATAGCTACGCGGATGATCTATTGCGATTCATCGACACACCCTTGTTCCGCCAAGTCACAGGCGATATCCACGTCAACGACGCGTTGATCTACAACGCATGGGACGCCCTGCCCTCGGAGTGGACGACCTGGTGGTCCGCAATCCCAGACCACCGTCTGGCGCAGCAGGACCTGATTGACAGCATCGAGGAGCAGTGTCTGGCCCGCCCTCCATCCAAGAACGAAGATGCTGTGGACGATGGACAAACGAGGCATTTGCGAGGCCGGCCGGAGTCGCTGACCAAGTGGCTAACCTCCCTCCAATCCCTGTCTCTCCCTCGTGCCCAGCGTCCCGGTCCAAGCATTGACCTTCCAGAAGTTCTGACAGGCCGCATGAAAACCAAAAAGATCGCCGAGGTCTCCACCGCCGCCGCTTACATCCAGCGCGTCTGCCAGGCCAACGGCATCACCCACGTCGTCGACATGGGCTCGGGACAAGGCTACCTTTCTGTTTCTCTTGCTTTTCTCTTCCCCGACCTACGGGTCCTCGCCATCGACGGCAGCGCAGCCCAGATCGAGGCCTCGGAGGCCGCCGCCGCTAGTCTCGAGATTCCCGGGCACAGAATCCGGCACATGCGGCGCTATATCGACGGTACAGCACCGCTGGCAGCCGAGATCGCGGCCTGGGCCGGAGGGGAGAAGTGCATGCTCGTCGGCCTGCACGCGTGCGGCAACCTCTCCGAGCACATGCTGAAATACTTCGCAACGGTCCCGCTCATCACGCACCTGGGCGCCGTCGGGTGTTGCTATAACCACATCGTTCCGCGTTCTGCCGCTTGCCCGGCTGGGTTTCCCGTCAGCGAAAGAATGAGAAACAGGGACGTGACGCTGAGCGCAACGGCCCTGATGACGGGCTGTCAGGCGCCGAACAACTGGGAGAGGCCGGACCTGAGTAAAGAGGAGTCCGAGTACTCGAAACGCCGCTTCTATCGAGCGCTCCTGGAGAAGATTTTGTTTGATAAAGGGGTCGAGCTCGACAAGGAAAATAGGCCTGTCTGGGGCGTGCGAAAGGGGGACATGGCCAGCTTTGCCAAGTTTACGCGCAGAGCTATAGCATACCTCGGCATTGACGGTTGCATGATTACCGACGACGAACTTATGTCCTACGAGGTTCGATACCGGGACCATAACGCCAGGATAGCGATTCTGTGGACGCTCAGTGTCCTGTGCTGCAAGGTCGTCGAAAGCGTGATTGCTTTTGATCGGTATTGCTTCCTTACTGAGAACGGAGGGGAAGATGTAGAGGTCTTGCCCATCTTTGACTACAAGGTATCGCCGAGGAATTTGATGCTTGTAGCCAGCAAGGGTTCTGGGTAAGATGGGTGGCAATTGGTATTTAAGCCTCGTTGAGGTGGTAATTAATAGAAGCTTTTGACAGAAGCATCCCCCCAGGTATTCGTGTATTAGAACATCATGCCAGTTTTCCACATGATGGTTGCTTCTCGTGAATCCTCGCCGTTGTGACAATAGGAAAATCGCTTTTCATATCATTCATATCCAAGTATTATTCACTCCACAAAATGATTTCCATTTCCGGAAGCTAGCTTTGGTTGTATTTAGCGTTGCCGTTAGAGGTCCATCACGTAGCAGTCGTCAACCCCCATTTCCCTATGCTAGGAGAGGCACAGGCTGTGGCTATTTGAAAGGTAACCTTCTGAAAACCAACCACGTCTTGATCTCTTATAGCAACACACAGGCTCACTTGAGTAATGCACCGAAGAACAGTTCTCAGGGGCTGCGCTTTGAAACTAAGATCTGCTATGTATGCGTCTTGTTAAATGATTACACGAAGCTGAACTCTTCTACACTACCCTTGTATTTCTTCTCTTATCTAGATTCAACGACGACCCCTTTATATACTTTTTGTTGTTGAAACCCTAGCGATTAACCCCTATAGTCCCCTATTTGTTCCACTAGCGACGTCCGTATGATTGGCCCTTTACCGCTGTCTAGCGATTGTTTGATGTTCTCCGAACTTTGGGTTGGCTATGTAGACCTGTAGGCTGGAGCTTTAGCTGGAATCCCCACTCTGGCCCAACCGGAGTCCCGGTACTCACATCTTCCGTTGTACTTCTTTGTCCATTCCCGCTTGGTAAACTTGCGACACTTCGAGCAGTACCGCAACTCCGTCCCGATCCAACTGCGGAGTCTCACATACAGCGGGCATGAAATGCACATGCAGTGTTTACACCCGGATAGCCGGCACATCGGATGCTGTGGGGGGTATGCTCGGCAAGGTAGCGACCAATGCCGGCAGATTTGGCAACCAGACTGCCCGCCAGCCGTCGGCTGGATGATGTACTCATGTCGGCGTTTTCGATGAGCATAATAGTTTTTTTCCACCCCGACAGCGAGGTTGTTGCCACACGCGCAGGATATGGCCTCCGGAGGTAGATTCTGGTCGTACAGCTGCAAGTGGGGCTTCTTTGGGATCAAGGGCAGCGTGAGTTCTCGGAAATAGTGCGATGACAGTGAGAGGCAAATGAGGTCGTTCTGTTGGCAGTAGGATAGAATGCCAACTTTCATCTCGGCCGGCAGTTTCGCAAAGAGAGAGGCCGAAAACTGCGACAGCGGCTCCGCGAGATCCTGGACTGGTGATGCCGGGCCGGACATTGTCAACATGGCTGCTGTGGAATGGATCTGTGCAAGGTCTGTGTTTCTTAGTTTTCCACTGAGATCTTGGCGTTGATCTCAAAGAAAAAGTAGTCACGTAGGACTCTTGAAGGCATATTAATAGTTGATGATTAACGTTCTGCATCACCCTTGCAGGTATAAAATGCGCTCCGTTGGGTCCGTTCCGCCGTTGCTGCCTGCGGCCAAGTGGGGAGTGGCGCCAAAGCGGTAGGCATCCAACGTCTTAGTTTATGGCAGGGCTTACCAAAGGTGGGTCAACATGTGTGTGTATGATCAAGGTTGATTCTATGACTAACTATGCTGTACCTACGTAGTAGGTTAAATACCCCTAAGGGTACATATCTAGAGAGTACCTGTGTAGGTAGTGTGTAGGTATTGTGCCTGTGGCAGTTCGTATTTGGCCAACAGGACGTAAGACTAATGGCGAGGAACATGCCACAACCATGATGCAGCCTGCTATTCAGTAAGTAAGTAGGTGAGAAGACGATACAACTGGTGGTTCAGCTCATGCTAATATGGCCATCATCGTGTACAGCACTCAATTACATGATATACTTTTCAGTGCACCAGATACGCCATGTTACTTGACTTGGACGGTATGCATTCTTCAGCCTCGGCGAAGCTTGTCAGGGTTCGTCCCACACCTGAGTCCTCGGATGAGCCATGTTGTAAAGTTGGTCAATGGATACCTGGGAGACTCCTCAACGATATAAACCGTGGGGTAGCATTGAGATGTAGAATGACCACTTCATTCGAGCGCAAAGATTTCGCGATAACCGAGTGTTCCAATCGACTATAGCTAATAAATACACTTAATATGCGGCTCATCGCAGAGGGTTGGTGTTAAATCGTCTTTGGAGCCTCAATATTGCAAACTCATCTCATTTGCATTGTATCGCCAAGGAAATGTTCAATTAGAAGCCTCAGTTGTATTCAAATCGCCTTGGATGCGATGTGACCGCAAATGAATGCCCTTACTTGATAAGCGCCAAGCTACCTAGGCCGACGCTATTGGTTCCCCTGACGTGACTAGACTTATCGATTAACAATAGGGACTATTTCGCGGCAAAGACCCCGCTCCTTCAATTTCCATGTTTCCAACCGTTCCCAACCTCTCGAGCATCAACTTCCCGCTGACGTGCTCTAACACATACTCTGATAGATATTCCGCCATGCTGTGTAGAGTATGCGTCGATGCCCTCCAGCACCGCAAGGGATGGGTGTGCAGCGACGACGATGCTGTGGACCCGCACGTCCTGCTGGCGCATCACGAATCGGCCGCTAGCCTCGCGATGTCTGCCCACGATGCCTGTGAAGTATGCTACCCATTTTGGTCTCAGATCGACCAAGTCAGTCGGTCTAGTATGGCGAAGTTTGATCACGAGTGGACATCTCGGCATCACACGACCAAGCCCTCCAGGACGCCGGGGCAGCCCCTTGATGATTTCACCGGCCTTGTAACGCTATGTGCCATCATCAACATCGGTCAAGAATCGGGTGTAGAATTTACTGGTATGGAACTGTTGATATCTGTGACTTTCGAGTCGGATTACCGGGATGAAATCCCAACGCTGGAGGACATATCTGGGACATACGAGGTGTTGAGAGGCCCCGGTTTGTCACCGTTATACGATCATTGCCGCAATCACCGAGTATTCTGACAATCAAGTGAACTAGAAAGAGAAATGGAGAAAATGACACCATTTTCCAGCAAGAGCACAGCCTCTGAGGAATCGTGGAGTAAAGCCGCGAATTGGATCCAACAATGCACCTCCGGTCACCTTGCCTGCAACGCTGAGCAGAACGCTGAGTCATGGCATCCCACCCGCCTGCTCGATCTAGCTTACCCTACCGCGACTTCAGATGTATTCCGCATCGTGGTGACGTCGGAGCTCGGCATCGACTCAGATGAGCGATACACGACGTTAAGTCACTGCTGGGGTTCCGCCCAGTTTCTGCAACTGAAGAGATCCACGTATGACGAGTTCCGGAAAGGTATCAGGCTGGACAAACTGCCAAAGACTTTCCGAGAGGCCATCCAAGTCACCCGGCGCCTCGGCGTCAGATTTCTTTGGATCGATTCACTCTGCATCTTACAAGATCGGGACGATCTATCTGACTGGCTGGTCGAGGCGGCGCAGATGCACAAGGTGTACTCGCATTCCTTCTGCAACATATCTGCTGCAGGAGCCCATGACAGCTCCAAAGGTCTCTTTTTTGACAGAGATCCGCGCATAAGCCATACAGCTCATGTTCGGATGTGTATCGAAGGACTTGGACTTCCGCCTGGGGGCCGCTACATGGACTGCAGCATTTTAAACTTGGGCTTTTGGGGCGATAATATCGGCCAATGTCCCCTAAACACACGCGGCTGGGTCCTGCAGGAGCGCCTGCTTTCTCCGCGAGTTCTGCACTTCGCCAGGGACCAGCTGTTCTGGGAATGCAGGGAGCACACGGCCGCTGAGTGTTATCCAGAGTCGCTTCCCACGTCGTTACGCAACGGCCCCCCCACAAACTTCAAGAAGCTCGACCCAGTCTCGCGGAGCCCACAGCTGGAGGCATCAGGGGATACTCTCAACGATCCCATGTTTTATCATTCCGCCTGGAACTCGGTTGCACGGGCGTATTCGAATACCCGCTTGACCGAGAGTTCCGATAAGCTGATTGCTTTATCTGGTGTCGCAAAGTACTTTGCAACCCGGATCGACGATGTTTATGTCGTGGGCATGTGGCGCAGGTACTTGGCAAGCAGCCTCCTGTGGCAGGTGGAGAAGCAAGCTCAAGTTGATGGATCGCCGTCTACGCGGCCAGATACTTATCGAGCCCCGTCCTTCTCATGGGTCTCTGTGGACGGGGCAGTTATCACTGCGCCGCCAACGGATAACAATCTCCTCATTGAAGTGGTTGACTTCCATTTGGACTAAGTATCAGTGGATAAGACAGGTCTTGTGGAACGTGGATATATTGACCTCAGAGGCCAGGTCAGACCCTTTGAGATGGTTGTCAAGTATACTCTCAAATACCAGCAACTATTCATGATGGTTGATGGCATCATAGTCAAAGATCCCAAGAAGGAAGATTGGGAAAACGGGCCCCTTGTGCACCTGGATGTTGGCCAAACAAGCTTCGATGATGAGAACGATAAGAAAACGCTCTTCTACATACCAGCTCAGAAACAGAAAACGCCCGAGGATCATGTGTCGTACCTGCTGCTGGTTGCTCTGGATACAAGTAGATCTACGTACAGGAGGATTGGGGTGGCTGTCACGGCCGAGGCTGCTGAGATTGAGGTCCTTAATAGGCCAACGCTACACCGGGATGACCATTCGGGGACAGACTCTGAAGCCAACCGCGATGTTCGGACGATTAGGATAGTCTGATTTGCTTTATCAACGGCTAGGATTCGATCCGGGCACCAGTTTACTTTCCACATTCTGCTCATTTCCATATAGTATTTTCTGATCTAAATAATACAACCGATAAGCGACGACTTTTTTCTCTGAAAGGAGGACTCGCCCCAATTTATTTAGCCGCGACTATGAGAGAAAGATAGTGTACCCACCTCTGATGGACTGGCCTGCCACCCTGAAAGGGTTCATATGAGCTATAATTCCGCTGGAGAGTGCAAGGCTTTCTCGAGTCTTCGGCAAAGTCCCAGATAAGTCTCAATAAAATGGTTAGAAGACATTCTGAGTTGGTATTCTCGAGCGCTACTGTAATGGTGGCTTCTTTTCTCTGAGGCTCGTCATCGCAGATCAACCTAGAAGACCAATGCGCGAATGGTATCCAGTAGTATATATAGGTAAGTTCTGTTCTTCTTACCGTAAGGTCTGAAGCCGCTGTTTTCAGCACGAGCGGGCCACCCTCACGCTTTACCTTTGATTGAATGTTTGCACTCGCGGTTGGGAGGCTACTTTCTACTTGGCCACCACTCGTTCTTGTAGTGAGGGGCATCCCCAAAGAAAAGTATTTGAAGACAGTCTTCATAGGTCTGCGGGAAGATTTAGAGCGGATGGAAACGATTGAAAGGGAAGAGAGAGTGTGGTCATGGAACCCACTGCACTCATGTCAACAAACCCTATCAGCCTTCAACCCTGTAACACAAAAATCAGCAACAGAAGTAGAAGGCGAAAAGATGCTCATGTGGAAGAAGAAGTTGACCGGGTCAAAAACACAAGAACTACCACAGGAGTATTAGAGGATAATGGAGATGCGAGCGTTTAGAATCGTGGTGGTTCTTTGGGGGTGGGAATGGAGCGCCCCTCGTCTGAATGTTCTGCAAAACTCGTATGATGCCTTTTCCCAAGTCTACATGACTTTCAATAGCCTAATTGACGGTTTTCGTTCCGTAGGTGCTAAGCTAGGTTGGGTCCCGTGCAGTTGATCGAGTTGTAAATATAGATATATCGTCTTGATTACTCATGCCATCCCTGTCAGACATGTTTTAGAAGGAGTTCCTTAGGAGTCCTTTTGTCTCCACAACTTTGCATACACCCAGTCTCTGGGAACCTCGTGTAGGGCCAATGTCAGCTTACAGCCACGAAAAAGGTAAGGCTGTTTGTTCCCAGGTTGTTTTCGGTTAGGACCTGTCTCAATTGAAGTTGCTGCTGCCTAATTGTCTAGCACTACAGTGCAACCCAGGGAAAAAGGCCGCTTGTAAAAAGCAAGATGTCGTGAAGTTGACGCATGGTGGGCTCATTCTTCGGAAAACGCGGGCCCACGATATTCTTTCAATAGCCTTTGTCGCTTAGCGGCCAGTTGCTGGAGTTCAGCTGTGTGCGTGAAGATGACTTGTCAGCTTGGAGATGCCGACTAGCATTGTCTTGTGGATGGCCTCCATTCTTGACACTTGATTAGGTATAAATATCATGATATTTCCTAACTCTCTGCTGTTTTATCTTCACCAAGTTTGAACTGTCATCAAACATCCTCCAAAGCATTCATCATCCGTACAACGAACAATCTCAATCTCAATCTCAATTACTCGCAATGCAGCTTTCGTCTTTCCTCCTCTCCGCGGCTGCCTTTGGCTCGGCTCTGGCTGCAACCATTCAGCTCCCCGAACTTGCTGATGGAAGCTACATCATCAGCCTCGACGGAGAGGGCAAGCCAACTTGGACCGACATCACTGTCAACACCACCGGCTCTGCCCCGCCCACTCCTTCGAAGCGTGACGCGTCCAGTAACAGCTTCCGCGTCAGCAAGCGGTTCAACTGGCCTTCTGGAACTTACCCGTGGTGTCCCGGTGGGGACTGGTTCTTGCAGAACGACTTTTACCAGCACTCATACAACGCATTCTATGATCAGTGCTACGCGAATGGCAATCACAAGTTCCCTAAAGGTACTGTCTTTGCGAACTACCAAGGGTCCGCCGTCTCGTACATGTGCGCATACACCGCGAACCCGTGCAGCACTGATGAATGGGCTGATGCCGTTGGCTGGGCGTCAGGCAACTGCATTGGCCGCAGCAACGGTTGGATGGAGCCAGGTATGTTTGCTAGCCACTGCTTGAAATCGGACTGATGAACTGATGGGTCACCTTAGGGTATCTTCACGTCCCCGGATGGAACAAGGTAAGAGACCCTGGAAGCATTTGAAAGTCTAGAGAAGCTGATTGCGGATACAGAGATACGGATATGCCAAGTCTGGAGCTTCTATCTGTTAAAGCGGAATTACATCCGTAATACCCCCCCCCTTGGAAGTCAGAAGAAGGCAACCAACGACCCATCAAGCGATATTGTGATTCAGCAAGGGTACTTATCGTTCACTTTTGTGCTTGTTTCGCACATTTGGGAGACGTTGTATTGATTCAGACATGTGAACGCACCGAGCCTACCGGATATGGATGTCCTGGCAGCATTAGCCCTACACCTCAAGCCACTAGGAGTCTGTCTAATCATGTCAACTGCTGGAGTCAATCCATGGTCCATATATACATAAATCTTTCCTTTCGACCAAGCTAGAACTCATTCCACGGAATGAAGACTAATAAGAACCTTTTTATTCAGACACACATAAAGCAGTTCCCTGAACATTGTGTCCTTGCCACGGCCGTCATGCTCCCTCTCCGCCTAACATCTCCTCCGCCCTCTACACTAGTTTGATCACGATGGCAGTTGTATATTATTTCAGTCGCAGACGCCATCCGGGGGCAACAATGGATTCTTCCAATATCAGCCATCTGAGACAAATGCCACGCCACAGTAGATATCTTGAACGGACTCAAGCTTGCTTTCGTCGAAATCATGCAAGGGACGTGTTTTGAAACCCGTGGAATTCTGGAATCTGACCTGGGAGCACCGGATGATCCCGCTACGCCGAAAGACCCTTGGTTCAATAAGTTCAAAGCCATTATGGCGGGTGTTTTTGGCGTTTGTACCGCTAGTGACTATGTTCTTCTGGTACAGCACAGCAGGAGTTTATATACAAGGCCTACTGGGATTTCAGTTAGCCGTTTGGTTTTCTATGGCGGCTTTGCAGCGGGGTTAACTGCAACAGGAGGATTGTTTGGAGCTACTGTAGCAGCGGGGGTATTATACATAGTTCTGTTGGGGCGCCTCTTTGCCTTGTTGATTAAGGTGCTTAACTCCATCTGGGAGAGCATCAAGAATGCTGTAGTTTGAGTTTGGGAAAAGATCAAATCTACGGCGTTTATTGCTGGCTCACGGCTCATGGGATGAGTGCATCCGGTTTTCTTATCTTCAAGTTGCGGAATTACGACAAATGCTCAGTCCGCATGGAGTATGCAAGTTTTTGAGTATAACACAGAGAGATCCAGGTGTCTGTCCGGTAAACTCGGCTCACACCACAATCGACTGGGCTGTAGTTCGGAGAGAAAGTCAGTTTCAATGATTGGCAAAAACCAGTTGAACAGTAATTGCTTCGTCAACAATTGGACACATACTCGGAATCCTGAAAGATGTTTTATTAGAGATAGAGCATAACGTCCAGAGAGTTAAGCCCTTTGCTTAGGATCTCGAGACAAACCACGTTTGTATATTAGTGATTCAACGTGCTCAGTCAAGGCCCACAGTGCTTAGTCACTCTGGAAGAAGGTAGACAGCATGAATCTTTACCAGATGTTCCAAACTTGGCTCTTTCTAGTCATTCCACCAACTAGGAAAAGACGTAAGATTGAGATTGTAGGGCCACAAGTAGCTCTTGCCATACTATATCCAGCTACATCAAGGCTCTTTCTTTCTGAATGTCTGCTTCTAATTAGAAAGCCCTGGTTATCGCCATATCCCCTCTCTTTCTCTTCTTTACATCTCATTCTCACGCTGCTTATTGCCAACATCTTCAGCAAGATAAACGGCTTCCTGTCCCGGACATCATTCTGAGTTTACAGCATCCTCTCTTCAGTCATCTCTTCCATTTGCCTAGTATCTCAAACATCGCACTTTCCTCTTGCTTCCTTTTGTTGCCTTCCTTTTGCCCTATTCAAAGGTATAAAAGACTTTCCTCCTCTCCATCCCACTCGGTTTCCTTCTCTTCCCTCACAACAACATCTATTCTCATTCACAATTGACTCAGCCATCATCTCTAACAGAGCCCCAAGTCCCAGTGCACTAACTCCTTCGTCAAGTAAAATTCGCTTTTCGTGGCCCTACTGATCATACGAGCTCCAAGTACCACCGAAGGCATCCTTACTCATATCATAGCCCTGGTTCCTTCTTTTCTAAGCACTTTACATTCCTTCCTGAACTCTAACATCCTTCCCGTTGTCCCGCTCTTGCCCTACCTTTCTTTTCTGTTTATAACTCCGACTTACATCGAACTAGCTGATTAACGAGTACGCAGATCATCATACCTTTTCTCCTTAACAATGGCAGGTAGACAGCCATCGCATACCTGGTTCCAGCCTCACTCGCAACACCTTGCAGAGCAAGCAACAATGGCGAAGGAGAGTCTTGTCGCCATCAAGAAAGAACCCTACGACAGCTCCAATACTATTTCCCAGGTGATTCCCGAGACCATGAAGGCAGCACAGGTGGAGACCCGCTTCGTAGCAATCAGTGACCTTCACTATGTAGACGACACCGTCATCTTGGAGCGAGCAGTCGAGGCAGGCGTGCAGCTGGCCCGCGAACTTGCTCCTTTGGTCTTCGAGCTCGCCTCGATGAAGAAACTGTCGACTGCTCGGAAGGACGATGGACTTCGATGGAAGAAGAGCATCGAGGAGATTATCGCTTTGGCCGAACCAACTCGGACCACGATCGGAGTCGTCGGTGCCACGGGGTCTGGCAAGAGCTCGTTAGTGAACGCCCTCCTCGTCGAAGAGAAGTATTCGCCTTTCTGTCCTTGACTGCCGCATCTGCTGACATCCCTCAGACTGTTGCCGACTAGCTGCGCCAGAGCTTGTACCGCATGGGTCACTGAAGTCTCTTACAATTACAGTGACGACGAAAGCAAGGCCTACAGGGCGGAAATCGAGTTCGTGACAGGAGAAGAGTGGCAGCGCGAGATGGGCCCTTGGCTCCAGTCTATGAAGGATGAAATTGCCTCCGGGTCGTCTGACTACTCGAGCCCCGGCACCGAGGCAGGGATGATGCTCTCGAAACTCGCGGCCGTCTATCCCGGCCTCACGACGGAGACGATCGCAGCATATGACTGTAACGTCTTGATGGAGAACACCGAGATCCAGAAGATCCTCGGCAGAACTATCAGCCTCGCCGACGTCTCTGCCAAGGGGCTATCCGATCAGATGCAACCTTACATCGGCAGGAAGGCAGACACGACAGAGGGGGGTGGTATGAACCCTTGGCCCCTGATCAAGGTGGTACGAGTCTTCGTGAAAGCCGCGGCTCTCTCAACCGGAGCTGTTATTGTCGATCTGGTACGTTAAGCCTCGTTCCGACTCGCACCTCGACCGACACTAAACTCATCTTTCTAGCCCGGAGTCCATGATTCGAACGCCGCGCGAGCGGCAATCTCAACCAACTACATGAAGGACTGCTCCGGCATCTGGATTGTCGCTCCGATAGTGAGAGCCGTGGACGACGAATCCGCCAAAAACCTGCTGGGGGAGTCGTTCCGGCAACAATTGGTACTGGACAACAAATACTCAGCCATCAGCATCATCTGCTCCAAGACTGACGACATCAACGTGGACGAGGTAGCTCGCGAACTCGCCTTGACTGCTGACCTGGAACAGAACCTTTCCAAAATATCCTCTCTTACCGACGAGATCCCGGTGCTAGAAGAGGAACTGAAAGCACTCAAAGAACAGAAACGCAAAGACGCAGAGATACTAGACGAGTGCCGCGACCGGCTGGATGACTGGGAGAACGCTCTACGCCAGATCCAAGAAGGCCAGCCCCTTGGCGTGGCGGTGGAAAATCTGGCCAAGAGAAAGCGTTCCTACGACAATTACAGCATTGTGGGCTCTTCTGTCGACACAGGCGTCGGTAACAACCCCTTGAGCAAGGGCCAAATTGAGGAGCACATACATAACCTGAGGCGTCAGGCCCAAGACCTCCGTGACCGATGCCGAAAGACCACAGCGTTGGCGAAGGATCATGAAGAGAAGCTGGAGTCGAAAGTGCAGGAGAAGAAGTCGCTCCAGGACTCCATCAAGGGATCCTGCATAAGGAAGCGGAACTCGACAACTACGCAAAGCATCAAACAGGACTTTGTGGATGGCTACAAGGAGTAAGTCGGGTCCGCAACGGTCCCCGACAGGACATGGCTAACTGAGAGTGATTAGACTCAAAGAGGAGAGCGCCTCGGACGACAATGATGTCTTCTTGAAGGACGAAGCGCCTCCCCCAGACTACGAGAAGATCAAGGCCAACCTGCCCGTGTTCTGCATCAGCAGCCGGACCTACCAGAAGCTCAACGGCATGATGCAGAACGAAGACATCAGCACCAGCGGCTACAAAGACGTCGACGACACGGGTATACCGGGCCTCCAGGCCCACGCACAGAAGCTCACAGAGGCTGGCAGGCACGCACGATGTCGACGGGTCATCACCAAACTGCACACCCTGCTCACATCCATCGCGTGCTGGGTGGCGGGCACCGACCTCGAGCGGGCCGGCTTCGACGCCAAAAAGGTCGAGGACCATCTTAGGGCGGAGGCCAGAAAGCTCCGAACGGTAAGCAGGCGTATCGAGTGCGGCGAAACGAACGGGAATCGGCAGCTAACCTGCTCGGCAGAACTGGACAATCACGCGAGAGACTTTCTGCCAGGGCCTCCACGACATTCTTCAGAATTCCGTCTATGGTGCTGCCAACGCCCTGGTTGCCAAGGCGGAAGACAAGGCGCTACCCCTCGCCGCCGCTTGGTTCGAACCCCCAAAGGCCGGAGGCTTTGCCCTCCAGACGCTCAAATCGATCTGCAGGAAGAGCGGAATCCACAGTGCCCGCGGCCGTCCTACCATCGCCCTACACCATCAGCTCGCCCAGCCGATCCAGTCCGCCATGAGACGGGACTGGGAGGCCGCCTTCGAGCGCGCCATACCGTGCATCCTCCAGAGCTTCGTCGGCGGGCTGGTGAACCACCAAGATGATTTCCACCGCGCCGTCGAGAAGCGGTATAAACCCAACGGCAACATGGACATGTCCCTGGATCTCCTCAACAACATTAACGCGGCGTCCAAGGGGAAGCCTGTGGCTCTCATGTGGCGCGTCAACGACGTCATCAACGCCATAAAAAACGAGGCCTCCCGCGCCATGCTTCAGCCGATCGAAGATGCCATGAGCCCGATTTACAAGAAATGCTTACAAGTGCAAGGTGAGTTAAGTGAGGCTGGGTTGTTGGCGAATAACTAATGGTGACGGGTTCGCTGACATGACGCCGGACAGGTAGCGGCAGTAAAGCGGCCATGGAGATGCTGGTCAAGAACCACATCGGAAACATCAAGAGGACCGTCTTTCGCACGTCTGTCGGGGCGATGCATGGCCATCTCCGGGACATGGAAAGACTCGTCGCGGGCCGGCTGGAGGTTCGCGTGGACGAGATGAGCGACAGCATCTTGCGGGATTACTCGAACGCTCTGCTTTCTGGCAACCAGAAAGCCGAGTTGTCCCCCAAAGAGATGGAGCTCAAAGAAGCGCTGACTATCGTCCTGAACAGCGCCGAAGCTCGATTCCGGAGGGACGAGTAAGCGGACGGCCCTGGTGATGGGCAGTTGGATGGTTACTCTTGGGGGATTGGTTGCGTAAGCACAGCGTTGCTCGTTGCTTTGCTTTCCTCTGCTTTCTTTACATTGCGTTTGGTTCGTTCTCATTGGGTGGCATATAGTCCCGGGGTGCAAAGCAGCCGCGGGAATCAAAGACAGACAGACAGACGGTAGATCATAGATGGATAGACAGCAGTTCGGCTCTGCTCTAGCATTGCTTTTTGACATACGAATCAAGACTGGATTCAGCTCTTGATCGACTCGTTTTTTTACGCTAGTTATGTAACGGTCAGACTGGTGGAAAGAGAAAAAAGTTGAAAAAGTAGAAGAACCCGAAGAATGGCTTTGCCAATCGCGGTGAGGATTTGAGCCTCACGCGGGGGTCGAACCCGCAACCTTGAGATTAAGAGTCTCACGCTCTACCGATTGAGCTAGCAAGGCGGGTCTTGTTGTTGTGACGGACAACCTCAATCTGGAGATATGGATGCCTTGCTGAGTCCATTGCGCGCTCTACGCAGCACTGCAGGCTTTCTGAGCGCCAAAAACAAACAAAAAAATAGCTCAACAATTGCCACTTGAAATTTCCATTTCCTTAGCTCCCTACCATCGATTAAATATGTAGGAGGAGAGACAAAATGAGGTGCCTTATTGTCAGCGTGGCTCGAGCTGTGGCATGCACCTGTCTGAAAGCCTCTCTTGTGACTGGTAGCCATTCCCTAGCTGTAACCAGACCGCCCGGCTAAGTACAGGTCCTAAAATCGCATTTCTAACTTTCTTTTCCGTCTATTGCATATATGACAAAGTGGGAAATTTTCAAAGTCTTAGTGACACTACTGAGTGACACTACTGTAGGCCGTGTTACCTAGGTCAGGGTGATGTGCAGGACACCAAGGGACCGCCTTAGATACGTACCTCGGTGCCAAAGACAAAAGAGCGCGTGATTACATAACACACACTTTATTCTCGGTGCCGGATCCCACTCCGGAGCTGCACCGGTAGAGGCACGTGACCATGGTACATCACTAGACCACGATGGCTTCTTGTATCTAGAAGCACATTCGACCCAAGCAAATCGACTCCTCGTCACCCATTTAACTGAATACCCTGCGATAAGTAATAAAACACATATGCATGAGACTTTTCAAAAGTTTCCCAGCGTGGGATATGCCTATATCCCCCCCTGGCCACTGACTTGATCCCTTGTTGGCTCTGGTCAGCAGTCAGCGTCGTTCCGATTGAAGCTTCGAGCAACCCCTCCCTACAAGACGACAAACCGACTGCTGCCTTCGACCTGTCTCGAGCATTGCATCTCCATTCTCTCACAATATCACGCATCTCTGGCAGGCGCAGCAATGAGGGCCACCGAGGCTTACGAGCGGAGATTGGCTACCGAAGCAAATGAGCAAAGGGGTATTATCTGACAAAAAAGGGCCAGTCTCGGCCAAGCAAAGCAGTAATCCAACACAAAAACCAATCATCCAACATGGCCTGTGGCCGCCGGGGACGGGAAACAAGATTGAAAGCAGAATATGCCATCCCTCACATCACTTTCCGCCCGCAACGCACCTCATTGTGACTCCCCTTCTCATAGCCACCCTCTACTCCTTTGAGGAGCCGCCTGCATCCAGACCCTCATCCCCAGAGTCGTCATACTCCGAGTCGTTGTACTCGATTTGATCCTCGTGGGCGTCGCTATCAGCCTCTTCGTTGGCTCCCATGTCGTCCACGCCGTAGTCGGCCACCGCATAGACATCTTCGTTCGCCTGGTCATCACTGCTCTTGTGAATCGGGGCGAATAGAATGTCCCGTGTCACCGTCGTCGCCTGCCGGAAGAAGGGGTGGTTTTCTTGTAGAATTTTACCCTGCGCAATGAACCCCATGGGAGTAGACAGAAAGTCCTGGCCCCTACGGCGGGAAGCAATCCACTCCTGTACAAAAGACAGAGGCCGAGTGGTGAGGCCAGCGGCAGCTGATTTGGCCCCGCTGCTGTGTTGGTTGTCTGCCGAGTCGCTTTCGGAACCCTCTCCCTCCAAGTATTCCAGTAGCGGCAACGATTGGTCGATGCCGAGGAAGTCGCAGAGCTGGTCGTACTCAGACCACTCGAAGTACAGCCGGCCTGCGTAGAGGCCCAGCTCGATCTTCAACCAGCTCGGAGCCCGCCATTCGGTTGGCAAGGTCGGGACGCTGTAATATTTGAGATCGCTGAAATGGAGCATCTTGCGGGTGACGGGTGCAGAGTACACAATCAGGTTCGTGGCGCCGGTAAAATTTGCATCCCGTATAATGGACAGGAGGGCCTCTGCTTCTTCAGGCACGACAATCAAAGCGACTTCGGTGACTTGAGACCAGAGTATCCAGCTCACATTGCGCTGCGGTCGAGGCTGTTAGGACCGAACTCCAACAATAAAACAAAACGGCTTTTCCACTTACCAAAAAGTTGTCACTTGTCAGGTCAAAGTTGAGTTTGACCGTTCGCTCAAACTCGGCAGACACGAACAGCTTTTGCTGCGAAGATTTGTCCGAGACCCTAAACTTTTTCCCAATGGCCGTCTTGGACAGAGACTTGATAGCTGGGATGAACGTGAGTGCTCCAGCGGGGATTCTGCCCGTTTTCGCGAAAGACTCGACTTCCGGATGCAACCCTGGGAACGAGAGCGCAGGGTAATGGTGCGGCTTCTTGACTTGGCGGACCGTCTCGACCTCGAATGCAATTTCGCGTTCCTGCTCAACCTCCTGCAGCGCGGATGCATGCACTGCCCGTCCAGTATCCTGGAAAGCCCTGCGTCTTGTGTTGAGTTCCTTGACGAACGATTTGATCTTGACATGCGACCCTGTACTCAAGTCACTGGCTCCCTTGGCCTTGCGTTTCGGCTCGTAAAGCTGCTGAAGGCTGTGCTGCTCGTCTTGCTTGATGGTGGCGATAAACTGGTCTCGCTGACACTTGTTCGTGACGAAGTCTGGGTTGTCGATTGTCGCCTGTATTCGACGGCAAAAGTCGATTCCTTGAGAGTAGTAGAGAGGCTGCAGCTGTTCGATTCCTTCACACGTATTGTCGAGAAGCCAGTAAATTCTGCGCCTTGGTTAGCGTCGCCTGCATGAATGCACTAGAGCCACATACACGTCGTGTGAATCTATCATGGCTCCAAGTGGCTTCTTCCGGAGGTCAAGGATGCTTTGATAGACTTCAGGAGGGGCAAAGAAAGTCACGGATTGGGTCGTGCCTAGCTGTCTCAATCGCATGGCGGCTGTGATTCCTTGGTCAGTTTTGAATAATCTCACATCCATTCCGCCATCGTCGGCACCCACCTTGCACAGTGTGGTCTTTGCTTTGGCCCAACCCGAGGGTTAGAGCGCCTCTGGCTGATGGGGGGAACTTCAGATCAGTTCCTCTGGTATGAGCCTGCGTCATTGTCAACCACACATCGCGGACTCTAGAATTGCCAAGGCGTCTCATGCTCACCTCATCCAAGTAGACCAAGCATCTGCTGAGGTCATCCGCGTACGGGGAGCCCAGAAGAGGCGTGATTCTTCCCGACCGCTGAATGATCGTCGGTTTGTTGCTTTTGTCGAAGAATAGAGCGGCGAGCGCTGATTGGTCAACAGTGAGCCACTGCTTTGCAAGAGTCTCATTGTCCATCTCCAAGATTTGAGCGCCTGCGTCGATGAGAATTTTAATCTTGCAACACTTCAACTCGTGCAACAAATCTGATTCGCTTGCTCTCGCACCGCGGGGCCCAACAATCTTTCGGCACTCACGGGATCGATCGTGGAGAAGGTACGTCAGAACTTCGGCGTTCGTGTGCGAGAGTCCCGAAAGGTCTTCCTGCTTGATTGTCAATGGTAGCATGGTTCGGTTGTCATTGGTGCCACTGAAGCCTGTCGTCAGCGCGGACGGTAAAGAGGTGTCGCTGGCGATCCCCTGGCAATCTTGGCTTCCGCTCGGTTGTTCGTTTCCGTGAACGGAGAAGAGTGGAATGTCCCATCCGTTGGACTGAAGCTTGACCTTGAACTGCTTGGCGTGCTGCGGGAAGACGAAGTTGTTCATGAAGTAGTCAATGGCGGCAACGTTGTATCGAAGGGCCCTCCAGACATCCTCAAGCTGGAGGCTATCGTCAACGTTGATGGAGTTCCAAGCTCGAAGAGAGTCGGGAAAGTCATCGCTAGTCAGAATCCACTTGTCATACTCGGATGAAGGATCGTCAGATTTGAGTAGGTGCTCGAGTGATTGGGTCAGCTGAGCAATGCTGATGCCGTCGTAGTAAAAGGCCAGACAGGTGAACAAGATGGCCACGTCGGGGTGTCCCCATTCAGATTGCTCGCTAGGAACGCCCTTCGCGTGGTAGGGCACTGCAATAGGGTCCCTGAGTGGGTGCAGTCCGTACTGAACATTCCATCTCTTCTTCAGCGTCATCATGAGAATGCGATTCAGGAGCACGCCTCGAAGGAGGTAGATCGCCTGCCTCACGCTGGGCCTATCGGGACAAAGTCGACGAACAAGTTGCAGTGTGGCGTCGCGCGGTCTCTCGTTGACAAGGAAATCTCTGACAGCCAGACGTTCGGCGGCATCGAGGTTCTGCATAGGAAGAATACCTCCAAGTCCTCGAAGCACGTCCGCGGTAAGGCGTTGAACAAGTGCCTCTTCGACATCAGACCGCAGGAAGAATAGGAGAGGAAAGCCACCTTTGGCACGTCTCACCACCTCGATTGAATTGGGAAACGCGTTTGCCAGACTATAGCAGTGATGGTCGACAAGACGCAAGAGGTCCTGCGCGATACGCCAGCGATGAGGATGTCCGTCGACAGTCATCTGAGAACCAGAAGGGTAAATGAGCTGAGTGCGCACAGCAAGGGTGTAATCGGATTCATCCAAGATGTCGCGGCATCGTGTGCGTAGCCAAGTCTGAACGTTGATCATCGGCCCTGCTTCGGGCATCCGGTTGTCGAGGAGACGTTGCAAGCCACTCAACATGAACGACAAGTTGTGCTCTGGCTGGCAAACCATGACCCCGGCTTGCTTCATCATCATGCGGTGGGCTCGGTGGTATGCTCGGATGACGTGTTCCTGTGTAGGCGTGCGGCGGGAGAACGGAATGTGACGGACTTGTCGATCGAGCAGACCCCCGAGTCTCGCTTGGAGAAGCTGCGCAGTCTGCAACAAGAGAGCCTTGGGAACAACTACTCGGACCAGGTTTTGTCGATTTGCAAGTACCGCAGCGACCATGGGGATGATACAAGATGTCTTGCCTGTGCCTGGTTAGTGACCAAATTCAAAAAAAGCGGATGAATCCGCATAGTACAGACCTTGTCCCATGTTCATCTGGAGGACCGAGTTGGCTCCGGAAGCAGGAGATATGGTGGCAAGAGCCACGTCGACCTGATCAGGCCGTATCATCAGATTTGCTTCAATCTCTAGAAGCAACCAGTCAGGGTGATCGGATGGGTTCCAGTTGGAGTGCCCCTTGTTCGCCATCTCGTCCAAGTACCTTCCGGCATCGCCTCGCATGGTGGCATGATTGATACGTAGATCTCGCTGTGTGCTTGTAATAGCGAGGCCAAAGTCAATCAACGTCTCCCGAACTGAGCTGCCAAACAAAGCCGGCGTTGCTGTCGATCGCAGCTGCTCGAGGAGGGTGACGGTTGTCACCGCTGGCCAGAGCTGTCCTGCCTTGAGCCAACGCACTCGCCGGGCTGAAAGAAACGCATCTGGTTTCTCGAAAGCTGCTTGAATAGCAGCAAATCGTCTCTGGATAGTCTGCAAAGAGAGAGAAACTTCTTTGGAGACAAATACTGGCGATGGGTTGCCACTAGCGTTCCTCGGGGATTTTCGAGCAATGAAGGCCTCAAGACTTCGTTCCAGATCCCCTGCGTACCTCTGACGCACCATTGACTTGCTATTTGCAAGGTTCGATACTATTCGTCTTAACTCTGAAGTGGCATCATTCGAGGGGATGAGTGTAGTCTTGGAGGACATCCAGCTCGGTGCAAGGACATTCGTACCGGCGCTGCGAAGGCGTGAGGATGGCAGCTGAATGGGTTGATGAATATGGGCAGGGTGGTGGGCTGCAGCGGGCAATTGACCAGACTTCGTTGCGGCTGTTTCCTCCATCTTGGGCTGCGGTTGCGCCATGATGGCTGCGTCAACAGCGGGAAAGCCTCGCTTCAACAAATCCAATCTCAGTGACGGTATCTCTCCTCCTCTCAAGCGTTCCTCGGAGGTTTCTTCCGCTGGAATGAAACAAGGAACCTCGTATTCGGTGTCGCAATGGTGCCCGTTCAACACGGTCTGAACCGCATCAAGATGGACCGAGAAGTTCATGTTCTCATACAGGCGTTTCCATTCCGGTCGGACGAGTTTCAGGGCGCCCTCAATGTCAACCAACAGAGACTTGGATAGTTCGGCGACTTGTGGCTCGGCGGAAGGCCACTGTGAGAGCAAGAAGTTGGCCAGATACTTGCAATCATCTTCCACTCGCTGATCCCAGGCCGCCTGCTCCGCTCTCATGCGTCGGATCTGCTTGGCGCTGGCAAACGTGAGGAATTCTTCGCTGTCATTTTTCGGTGCCGGCGTCTTGAATGGTCTGATTAATTGCAATAGATAGTCAAGATGAGGGGCTTGATTAGGCTTGAAATTGTTGTACGAGGGCCAGGGGGGCAAGTCAATCGCCTTCAACTCCTTGAATACAGCAAACGCAGCCAATGCTTTAATAATACCCATGTCAACTCCGACACCATATGATATGGGGGCCAGCAGAAACATGAGGACAAAGGGACTTTGTTGTTCTCGACATAAACGGGCTAGAGATCCCCAATTGGATGGAACATCGAGACCCAGCCGGTCGTTGAGTGACACCTTATCAAAGGTATCTGTGTATCCCCCGACCAAGGTACTTTGGGAAAGCTTTTGCGCCAAAGCGTTGGTGGTTGCCAGCTTCTCCGGCCAAGTCCGTAGGAAATGAATGAGTTCGAGGACCTGACAATGGCGGACGTTCGATGGCTTGATACAGTCTCGAGCCGCGTACTCAAGGTCAACATGCTTTGACTGATCTGTGTTATTGTCGAAATAGCGCTCCATCAGCTGTCTGCGGATCATGGAACGGTCATGAAGGTGCATGTCGCCAGCAAGCGGCAAGATACGGGGGTCTGTATCAAGGAGATCGAAAGTCTGTAGCTCGGCCGATATGGCGAGAATCTGCTCGACCAGGGGCCTAAATCTCTCGTGCTGTACACTTTCGGTCAAGTTGGGATCCCAATGATCAGTCTTCATAACCTTCAGGTCCTTAGGGTAATACTCGTGACGTGGCGTGAGCTGAGCAATCTTGACAAGAACTCTTACCGGACCAGGTCGCAACGGCATCCAGGGTTGACAGACTCCAGAGGAGAGCCATTGGAGTGCTTCCTCGGTACCAGTTCGTCCCGTCAGTGGATCCGGAAATATGGATGACGTATACGCGTGAAGCTGGGCCTTCGTGTAGAGAAGCAGCGGTTCCGGCGCGGACTCGATGCGTCCCAAGTGTTTGTTGATGACGAATTTTCCGTATTCACCATTTGGAAGTATGCGCACGAGCATACTATCTCGTTCTTGCTTTGCCTGGAGGAGTCCAAGGGGAACCAGAATGCTTCTCTGCTGAGGATCTCGGGGGTTCCGCAAAACCAGCTTGCTCTCCAAACCATACCAGGTTCCGGCATCTTGATCCGAGTCGATCTCGGATCCCAGTTGAGGTGACTCAAGAACTTGTCGTGCGTTTACATAAAACAAGAGTTGCAATCGTCTAATCTCCACTTGGACGTGCTTCGCTGCGGGTTGGAAAACAAGTAAATGTCGTCGTAACTCAAACCCGTCAAAGATACGCGCGACACGGTTAAACAGCGGACTGTACGTGTCGACTAGCCTGTCTTCGCCGTAGTGTCCAGGACGTGAGCAGGTTTCCTGATGGACATTGATGGTCCAGTTTCGGTGGCTAATGTTCCAGATGTCGGCGACAAACGAAATGAAGATTTTGCCGCTGTGAAGATCTAGCCAATGAAAGCAATTGTCGATAAGGGGGCCAGGGAGATCGGAAGAGTTGTCGGAGTAAAACACATTCCTTTGGATCAGCTGCAGATACTGCTGGCCTTTAGTCGCACGGATAACGATGGAGTCAGTGTCGTAACCGATATCGATGCGGTAGCCTCGGGGCTTCACTGTCAAAGCTGTTTCCCCGCCTCCCAGTCAGTCGAAGCTCTTACACAGTTTGTTATCTTCCATGAGACCTACTGTAATCCATACCAGCCATGTCTGACGGTCGCGTAAGCAAGGCTTGCTCTCCGAATAGCTCCGTGAGAATGGCAGTGTGCTCGGGCGGCTTGGGGAGTTTCTATCATACGGTCAGTTGGGTATCCGTTGCGGCTAGCTTTGGGGCAGATACTCACCCCAAGGGGACGGTCATCGACTAGAAGCAGACCGGTACAAGTATTATACTGCACCATCTGTATATGCGCATCCCATCCATCATGACCGTGGATCTCGCACATTATCCACTCCGCCTGTTCTTCTCGAAGGGACGCTATTTGTCGAGGGCTACCATCGGTTTCAGGCCATACAGTCATGATTGCCGTCCGGAAAGTGTCGGGAGAATGGATAATGGATTTGCGTACCAAGGATGACAGTCGATACGAGAGTTTCAGGTCGGAGATGATTGCTTGCCGAAGAACCAGAGGAAGCGCACCGACATCGACCACCAAGTTGTCTTGGACAGTAATGCAACACTCAACGTACGTCTGAAGTGCAGTGTCGTCCAAAAGAGCAAATTGGCTGCCGTGGATAACATATGTGCGCTTGCAGAGGATCGCGGCCCATAGAGCGTATTGCTGGCATCTCCGGGAGGCCTCGTTATCGCTGGCCTTGAAGGTCTCTGTTCGGAGCATCTCCACCCAGCGGAGGCAGATCCCACGAGCCCGGATTACTGCGTTGAAAGCTCTCGGAGAGACGTCTGGGTTCGTAGCCGTAAGCGCGTATGCCCGCAAAAGAAGGGTGATGACCACGTCCATCAGGTACGTTTCTCGCCAGTTGGCCTGAAGGCTATCCAGCTTCGCGCACAGCTGCTCGAGAAGACGGTCGCAGAAGTGGCTATCACGGAAAACTTTGTGGATCTGGCGAAGGACATCTCCCTTTTCGTCCTCAGGTCCGCTCTGAAGCACCAAATGTGAGACAAGAAGCATCGTGACCTCGCTCGAGAAATTCAAGTTTGTGGAGCCAAGTTCAGTAAGAAGTACGATCCAGCGTTGACTTTTTCCCGTCATTAGCGACTGCATGGCGAGGTATTCGTGAGTGTTGACTCCGGCAGGACAAGTCGATTGGCTCGCGACAATCTCATACGAAGAAGGCCCGGGTCCGTCAAGCGCATACGCTCTCGATTCCAGAAGTGTGCTCCAAGGCGACTTGTTCGGCAACATCAAGGCAGTGTGGTGAGCAAAAGAGGGTCGGAATCTGGTGCGACCGGTCCATGTCGAGGTACGTTCATCGAAGTAGCCGAGCTTCAACGCGTTGGGTCTGCAAACCCCATGACGGCCTCCATCCCATTCAACGGGGAAGGGCACAGAGGTGTAATGAGTTGTTTGAACTAGAAATCAAAAGCAAGTTATAATTAAGTCGTCATATTTTGGTACAAGGACAGCACAGGATAATAACTCACAGGGTTTCGTCGTGGAGGCTAGACCGACTTTCCGGTGACTCTGGCGGAAAAAGGGCTTCAGCTGCATGTAATCTCTCAGCAGACATCGCGGCTTGATCCCTTCGTCGTCAAAATGAGTGGCCAGGTGACGGAGAATCCACCATGTTGTGTCTCGATAAATAGCAAACTCCTTAGGGCAGGCCAGCTCGAAGATGACGGACTTTGCGGTAGTCAAGTCCAGGGGCAGTGGCTCCTCGAAGGTGGTGATGCGCATGTGCTGTGCAGTGCACATCATTGAACAGCGGGGACAGCGAGGGTCATGCACTTCTTGCCCACGGTAGTCGCGCTCATCGGCAAGGTAAACGCAGGTACTTCTGTCGATACGACTAATCAAGTCATCATATTCGCGGCTCTTTTTCTTCCATTCCTTTCCCTTTCTGTCGCGTATGTCGTTGGCCAATTCGATGATCTCTTCATGAATTCCTTTCAGGAGCGGAGCGTCGGATGATTCATTATAGTAGCGCTCGGCAAAGCAGCCGGGTGATGGATCTTCAAAGATGTTGCGGTGACTGGAATTGGCTCTCACCACACGGGATGACAAAAGGGTTTGGAGGAAACCGAGTCGCGCCAATTCCGAGAACTGCGGCAGAAGCAGAACGTCAAGCATCTGGGGGTGGAAGACTGGGTGGTACTCTCTGAGCAGGGGAAAGGAATCGCACGCAATAGCATCCATCTTTTGCCAAAGCTCCATGACCGTCAACAACATCAAGCTTTTCTGTTCGGGATTGTTTTCATACATCGGCATGGCTGCATGAACATAATCGAAGATCTGACGCGAGACCTCCTCACAACTCTCCGCGGCCAATGAGACAAGCTCCATCTCCTTGTTGATCAACTTGTGGTAATCCTGAGCGTATTTGCTGAGGTGATCTTTGGCAGCCTCGGCCGGGCCTTCGTCCGGGAGGTATCGATAGCGCTTCTTCGTGGGAACCTTGGATCTCTGGAGGACGCTCTTGATGTAGCCATGGCTGAGTCTCAAGCTGAGACGAAGATCCTGGCCGAAGGCCTTTTTCGGGAGCTTTGGAATATTCTTGACCAGTGAGAGTCTTTGCTGTTTCAGTACACGCTGGATGAGTGTCGTGCAGTTGTCGATAGCTCCGTTGAACTTGGGCCCGAGAGAGCTGAACAGGTAGCTGTATCGTGCAAGAGCATCGCTGTCTTGGCAGTGATGTTTGTCCACGTCAAGTTTGACCAGCCGACGGCAAAGCTTTTTCTGGAGAAATTGAAGCTGTTCCACGCCAACGAGGTGAGAGAGGCTTGCGTCAAGAAAGGTGGCTAGGACGACGGCGATGAAGAACTTGTACTCCAACTGGCCTTGCTGATAACCCAACTCGGACGCAAGATAGCGTTGGATGGCGACGCGGAGAACGAGGTAACAGGGCAGTCTGCGCCAGGGCTTCTTGGCACGGTCCCAGCAAACATCATCACGAACACGCTTTCTGAGGAGTCTTGGGGCGATTCTGCGACCATTTTCTTCAAGGATAGCCATCAGAAGGGATGTGATGATGGAAGGGTCGCCGGTGTTGCGATACTCGAAGACGGTGGCGCCGGCTTTGAAAGCAATGGCGGAAAAGTCCTTGACGGTCTCCAGGGACGCCTGTTCGATGAAGTTGGCGAGGCTCAGCTGGAAGTCGGACTTGGCGAAGGTGATGTACGGGACGGCGACAGCAATGCCAGGAAAGTCCCACACCAGGGCGCTTTTTGCTGCGAGGACGTTTTCGTTCTTGGCGGAGGCTTCGAAGGCCTCGAAGATGACGCTGTCATAAAAGATTGAGCTGGATTTGGGGTAACTGTCAGCGGCGCACCATGATGGAGAAGACAAAAACACTGACTCCTGGGCTCTGCGTATGATGAGACCAGCATTCTGGGTCTCGATATGGAGGATAATGCAGCCCGAGGGGCCAAGCAGTTCGAGCTCGCGCAGTAAGCTGGCTTTATCAATGCGGCCTCCTCGGTAGAGGTCGTTGGACGCCAGAAGCATTTGACTAACCAGTCCCCAGGCATCCCGGGATGGCTTCTCGTTATCCGGGAGTTGGGACATGACTTTGGCGGCGGCGGCCATCCGCTCAGCGAGGGCCTTCCTGACCAGCTCGGCTTGCTGGTCGGAATCTTGCTGGTGCGGTAGTTTCGCGGGCAGCACCAAGTGGTTGTACAACGCGCCATGAATGGCCGCTGGAGAGACCAGCGACGCATCCATGGCTGCCATGGTGAGTCAAGTCCAGGTCACGTAGCTGGCGGTCGTTCTGCTTGTGTGGTGGTGCTTGGCTCGATCTCGAAGAGCGATGACACTGTTGTATGTTCGGGATGCGACGATTCTGTGTAAGAGGAAAGAAGAGAAGATGAGGAAGGAGAAGGAGAAGAAACCCGAATCGCAAGTTAGAACAGCGGAAGGAAGGATGGAAAGAGAGGAAAGGTGGAAGAAGGAAGGCGTGTTGGTGCAGGTGAAAAGTGAGGCCAGTAAGGAAGCTGCAAGAAGTGGGGCCCGAAATGAGAAACGATGGTAGAAGCAGGAACAACCAGATGGGTTGGAAGGACGCAGGAGTCAAGAGACAGGAAGGAGGGAAGGGCTGTAAGTAGGCACCCATGAAGGCAGTGGCACTGGGGGGCAGGACGAGAGAAAATGAGATTTTCGAAATGGGTATGAGATTTCACTCTGAGACTGCAGTTCTTTGATATGGATGTGAGTGAGAAACCAAGAAAACAGTGAACAACTCAAACGAGGACAATAGATGGTGAGGTGACAGGGGTATGAAAAGCAATCAAAGACCAACAGCATCATGTACATGAGAGCAACCAAGCAACAACAAGCAAGTTGGATCACTTTTACCCAATGAAAACACTCTTCATTCTCATTTTTCAAATTACCCTTGTCATGTGCCAATGGTGAACGGATGCCTACCATCGTTATTTTTTGGGTCGGCGCTAAGTCGAGGCTGTTTGGCCGCCACTCATATCATCTCAAGGCGATGTAGACACCCGAATATGCGAGAAACACGGACACCAGGTGAAGACTGTCAGGCACCAGCTGAGAAGTCGGAACTCAAGTCTGAAGCCAAGCCGCCTCGATGAAACACCAGGCATATGCCATTATGAAATGAAACGCTCAGTCTTTGAGGAGAGACAAATCATATTATCTGTTACTCCATTTATGGAGGTGACCATCTCATTCAGTATGTCACTGGTAGCCGTTTTGTCTCATCGAAAGCATTGTGAGTAAGCCGGAATGACATGTAGTTCCTGTTTTGTGGCACCGACGTTGGCAACTGATAGAAAGTACAGCACTACTGCTGTATATTTGACTCTGTAGAATGATTTTTGAAGAGGAAGCACAACTCCACCATTTAATTTGAGAGGCCTTTCATAACGTGCCTATCATAACATATGGCAACCAAGGCCCGGTTATAATCTAGCCCATCGAATGGTAGTATTTTGGTATGCCCTCCAGGAGTGAGACTTCAATCTGGAATTTTTCATTTCTTTTCAAGAGTTACAAATCTGCAGTCAAAGATGTATTCAAATGCTTTTCAACCTCCCTCAACCACCGATGTCCGTGTGAAGGACCTCGGCGTCTATGGGTGACCCTCAAAAAGAGGAACCTTCCAGCTGTTCAACCCAAAGTTGACCCCATTGCTCAGGACAAAACTCGTCACGGACGATCGTTGCAATTGGCTCTGGATAGTATCCAATCCATCCCAAATGAACCGGCAAAATCAAATAAACGCTACAAAACGCCGAATGCGAGATGGTATAATCTCTTCATTGACCCATTCCCCCGCTCAGCACGGCACTAACAGCCCTCAGAAAGCAATCGCCTCGTCGACGCACATGCCCTTGTCGCCCATCCGGCCGTTGCCCCTGCTGCACGACTCGATGGCCGAGCACAGCTTCGAGTCCTCCTGGGCCGTGCCGGCGCTCTGGGGCAACTTCTGCTGCGCCGGCCAGATCTCGGCGCCGGCCTGCTGCTCCTTGCGCCAGTGCTCGGTGATGACCTCGCGCACCGTCTTCTGGAAGAAGAGCGGGCCCTTCTCCATCTCCGGGTGCAGCTCGCCGTTGACAAAGACGCCGGCGTTGATGTTCTTCTGGGCGTTGGCACAGAGGTACTTATCCTCGGACATGATGCGCTTGTACATGTCGTTGATGACGTTGAAGTCGGCGTCGCTCGAATTCTTATTGCGGTACACCTCGTAGCGCATCACGCACTTTTGGGGCCCGCTGGGGACGAAGCGCTGGATGAAGAAGAAGTGCGGCCTCGGGTGGGTGTTAGCGATGACAAGACGTGGCACACTGACAGCAGCAGCAGCAGCAGCAGAAGAAGAGTTGAGTTCACTTACGAGACGTTCATGGAGGCGTTTGGCCAAAAGTAGGTGGCGGCGACGCGGAAACCCTTGGAGATCTGCTCCTCGGTGGGCTGGCCAAAGTGCTGAATGTAGGCGTTCTGGGCGTTGACGTAGTACGAGTTGAGGTCGGCGATGGAGGGAATATCGGGATGGGCGGTAGGGCAGTGGTAGCACTCGTTGTAGTTGTCGGCCAGGATCTTCCAGTTCCACTCGCCCTCCATCTCCCACTGGTGATCGAACTTGTAGTCCTCGAAGTTGTAGTGCTGGAACCTCTCTTGCTCGTCGATGCCGAGGAAGTCGTCGTTCCAGGCGATCTCGGGCGTCTCCGCGGCGTCGAGGTTGACGAAGATGAAGCCGTTGCGGTCGATGTGCATGTGGATAGGGAAGAGGTTGTTCTGGGACTTGTCGAAGCCGGCGAGTTCCTGGTAGCCGGGGGCCTTGGCCAGGTTGCCGCTCAGGCCGTAGGACCACCCGTGGTATTTGCAGGAGAAGGTATAGCTGTTGCCCTCGTCCTTGGTGACGACCGGAAAGGCGCGGTGCCGGCAGACGTTGTGCATGGCGTGAAAGTTCCCTTTTCTGTCATGGACGATGATGAAATCGTAGCCAGCAACGTCGTAGCGGATCCAGTCGCCCGGGTTGGGGATTCTGGACTTGTGAGTTGTGAGGAGCCATTTCCTGGAGAAGATGGCGCGGCGCTCGAGCTCGTACATCTCCTGAGATGTGTACCATGACGCTGGCAGAGCCCGGACGGGAGTCTTGTCTTCCTGGGCAGGCTTGGTGCCGCCGAGGCCGAAGTAGTTCTTGAATAGTGACATTGCTACTGGTCTAGTAACGCTGGTGTAGATGGATTCGCTGGCAAAAGAGATGGAACAGTCGAAAGGAGGCCTGGAGCTCGGCAATCTGATCCAGAATGAATCTGATGAGGGTGGTCTGATTTGCACCATCTAAAACCTTATGCTCAAAGACGACGGCCCTTCTATATAGTCACGATTGGCATGGCTGGTCCATCAAGGCTGGCTGGCCCTTCGCCCTCCCGTATCGCCCACCACCACCCCCTTGGTGTCGAAACCCAATACTTGGGCCGGCCGGTGCTCGATGTCGCACACCGAACGCCTCTGACGATTCCGGGCACTGGATGCCATCAGCTGGTTATCGACGCGGTCGTTGCTCCGATCACATGACCGGCAACAGTACCTCGCTGGACCGATAAGTACCGGTATGCCAGACGCCGTGGTGTGGGATTTCACGGACCGAGCCGCGCTCCATGGTGGCAGTATACCGGGACCCTTGAAGGGCAGTGGAGATCAGATCCATCCATGATGCGTTGTTGATGCCGAGCCCACCCCCCCCCCCCCCCCCCCCCCTGGGGAGGGCAGTCTAGACTTTCATGTGTGAGGAGCTTTGGATCCGGCTGCCTGTCTGTGATTTCTGAAGGTTCTGCCGGCCAACACACGCACCCCAAGTTGCCCCGTCCATGCTCATCACTTCTTCAACCAGTCAGTCACTGCTCTCGACTGCTCACCCACCCCGGCACATCAGCTTTTCTGATGGGCCATCCTTACCGCATGCGGTAACTTTTGACTGAGTGCTCTTCATTGGACGGGCCCCATACCCCGACCCCGCATTATTGAACGCCTGGGCAGTATTCTTACTCCATTGGCAACCGGCAGCAACACGTTTTCTGATCTCGCCCCTGTTCCAACTCGCCCGGCATCGGGATATCTAATCTGTAGGCCCCAATTGGGCAACGTCGAGGCACTGTGTTCGTCCCATTCGCTGCACGCTGCACCGCCGGTAGCGTCTCGGCATCATGTCGCCGTCCACGAGTCCCGCGACCGGTCCCCTTTGCCAGCCATGTAACGGAAGAACGGGCCACGTTCTGGGGCAGCCAGCACGGCAATAATCTCAAGTCCGCCGGGCTCTCCTTCGTATTTCATGCGTCGAGGGTGCAGCTGCCCGCGAGTCAATGACCGTGGCACACACAAACGCAGATCGAGCGAGAATTGTTCGTATCTTTCGCCATTATGTTGTCTGCATCTGATGTTCGAAAAGGATGACTCCTAGATCTGGTAGGGACTAATCTCTCACTTCAGGGAGTGCCTAGGGTCTTATCGGCGTCCGGCTGGGGGGACCCCTGATGTGTATCTGAGCGAGAGTGACGGTCCAACAGAAGCCTTCGCAAAGGCAAGACGACTCCCACGATCAGCCGGCAACTCGAGATAAACATGCATGAAAGAACATATGCTCCAGTTAGCCGCCAACTAGTGACAGGCTGGCTGCCAAGACGATCTGGTGATCCTCTTGTCCTGGGACAAAGGACACCGGTCCCGAATAGCCGGCGTCATCACGTGATCGGCATCCGGGAGCGGTGCCGATATCGGGACACCACCGGACCATGAAGGCGCGGGGGAGGGGGAAGAGCACATAGGTTACCGATAAGTGAACCGTTGTCTGACATTCGTGCAGAGCGACGATAACCAGACGTTGGATGCATCGTCCAATATAATTGTGCCCGTCTCTCCGTACCGTCTTGAAAGAAGACTCGACCGTCTCGTGATCGATCCCCCCCCCCCCCCCCCTCTCCCTGGCCTGCAAGAAACCCTTTTAGAACATTTTCCCTCCCTTTTCGCCTGCCGATCCATGTCATTCTACTTCTTCGACAAGATGGCCCAGAGCGAACACCCATCCTACCTCATTGTCGGCGCTGGCGTGTTTGGTGTGTCTACCGCCTATCACCTTATCAAGAAGTACCCGGGCGCATCCGTGACCCTGGTCGATAAGGACGCCTTCGACGCCGACGAGCGCGTAGCCGCCTCGTGGGACTGGAACAAGGTGGTCCGCGCCGACTACGACGATTTCACGTACTGCCAGCTGGCCCTGGAGGCACAAGACATCTTCAAGAGCGACCCGCTCTGGAAGCCCTTTTTCCACCAGACGGGCGTCTACTGGATCTGCCGTAGCGACTACGCACAGAACGTCATTGACCACCACAAAAAGCTCGGCCGGAAGGACGACATCATCGCCTTGCCGGTCTCGGAAGCCCGCAAGCTGTATGGCGGCCTTTTTGAAGACGCGGATTATTCTGGAGCCAAAGAGGTCCTTGTAAACCGTGCGAGCGGCTGGGCGGCCGCCGGAGACTGCTTGCGCGCCGTCACACGTGAAACCGTCAGATTAGGTGTCAAGTACGTGACTGCGGAGACTGCACATCTCGAGTTCGATGAGCGCGGGAGATGCACTGGCATCAAGACGACAACGGGTGAGACGCTAGCGGCCGACCACACTATCCTTTCCACGGGGGCGTACACCCCCAAGCTACTAGAGTTGAGTGCGGCAAAGAGCGGTCTGGCCAACCTCCGAGCTGGGGACCGCATTCTGGCAGCTGGCATCACCACCGGGATGGCAGAGCTCGATGAAGACGAGTACAAGAAGTATGCAAACATGCCCGTTGGGTTCCAGGGATATACAGGACACGGTGAGTTTCTCATATCTTGCCGCCTGCAATTTTTCTTTTTCTTTCTTTTTCTCTTTTTTTTTCTTGGCTCGGACGAGCTGCTTACAATCGAACTAGGCAAACCCTTCATCGGCAGCATCCCGCCGACCAAGGACAGAGAACTCAAGTGGTGGGGAGCCAAGATCTTCACTAACACAAAAGAAATCCTGCCTGGCCGGCACGTCTCTGCGCCCCCGCCGGCGAAGGACTACAGCCAATGGAAGGTCTCGCGGCAGCTGAAGCGAGACATCGCCGAGCAGAGAGACCTATGGTACGGTAGCAAGAGCGCCAACTGGAAGATGACCAAGCACCGCATCTGCTGGTAAGTAGCAGCGGCATCGGCGTACGGTTGACTTTCGGGCCGCTCCCGCTGACGTTACAAACAGGGACGCCTTCACAACCAGTTCGGACTTTATCATCTCGCCGCACTCGGCAGCCAAAGGCTTGTACCTCGCAACCTGCGGCTCCTTTCACGGGTTCAAGTTCTTCCCCGTGCTCGGCAAGTATGTCGTCCAGATGCTGGAAGATTCGCTATCCACCGAGCTGAAGACGAGGTGGGCATGGGACCGCGAGCGCCCTGATCACCTGCAGAACCCCGAGTATCCCAACTCGGAGCTGAGCGATCTAACGGATCCGGTGTCGAGGCTGTAGTCTATTTCGAGCGAACTGATTTCCAGGGCGGCAACGGCGTAGATCCACGGCGCACTTACATGGATGGCGCTGGGCTTCCTCCATAATCCAGGGGTTTCGAGAGAGGGACGCCTTTCCACTTTTGGCACCGTGTGTACACAAGGTGGGATGCACGATGGTTCATAGCAAGTGGGTAACGAAGACCATGCGCATTACCCGGCGCACATGAGTTATGACAGCCTGTTCAAGCGAGTGCCAATGGTCCATCAGAGTACTGCAACGTGTCGTCAAGCCCTGGAGCCGATGTGCAATCAGGGGACACTTGCCACAGCAAGGCAGGCACATAGTCCTAGAAGCGCAGTTCCAAGAACACTGGGGCGGTACGGCGGTTCGGCATCTCGGTGTGACGCAATATGAGAACTGCATGATGGGTTTCCAAGAGCTGGCATGGAATCGCCACGAAACGCAGGAGCGAGCAAGAGACGGAGATGAGACCTGAGTGTGGCTGAAAACCCCTCGTCAAGTTGCAACCAGTAACCAGAAGAGTTTATGCACACATGGTGGCTGACGATTGACGTGGACCTTGTTGGCGGGAAGAGATATACCAGATGTATGTGGATGTTTGAATCACGATGAGACGTCGATCTCGGAACACTGCCCCACGGCTGTAAAGGGATGTTTCACGTGACCATGGTTATAGTCTTCAGCGCTCTTATCTCCTTCGGGTGCCTCCCCACCCCCCAAGACTATGGTCCCCCTGCTTCCCTTATCGAAGGCTTGCTCGTCTTGCCTACGGTTGGTTAGTCAGTAATACTGGGAAGACGGGGGTGCCGATGCACGGTCACCTCACTTATCGGATTAGTCCTTAGGGTGGTGCGGGGTTCGTGGCCGGGGGTCAGTGTTTATCAACTTTGCATATCCATACAAAGTATTTAGTGGAGGTGCTCACTCCTCTTGGGGGAGGCAGTTCTCACAAGTGAGCTTTGTGTTTTGCCCGGCCTTGAGATCCGTCAATGACATGCCGCCAGAGGAGGGCTCTATCACTGCAGCCGGCTTGAGGGGGAGAAGACGATCACATCATGCTTGTCTCACTTGCAGGTATGCATTCCTTGTTTCCTGGAGGGCACGCATCTTCCCGTTGCGGGGCGTGCACGCTGACTTCTGACGCAGGAGGAAGAAGACCAGGTGCCCGGGCGAGAGGCCGGCGTGCTCCAGCTGCGTCCGGCTCTCGCAGTCGTGTACCTATCCCGCGGTGAGGCCATCGCAGAGCGGTAGATCGGTAGGTTCACCACACGCGCTCCCAAGACGACTGATGGCAGACGCCCTTACCACTGATAGGATGAGAGGCTACAAACCTTGGAAGAGAAACTGGATCTCCTCCTCAGCGGAGGGGGCTTGTAATACGGCACCGCACACGAACATGCTAGGTTCAGACCGTCTGACCGGGTTCTTAGACCGAACCACCCCGCCCGCCATGGACAAGCGCAACAGCAGGCATCGTACGACGAAGTCACCGACGCGTCGGAGAAGTCGTTTTCTGCGACGCCGCCGTCTCGTAACGCCAGGCCGAGCTACGCGACCGACAACAGCAACAACTCGTCCGTCGTCTTCGAGCCGAACGACATGGCGACGGGCGTCGACCTCTACTTCAAGTACTGTCACCGCCAGCCGATCTGGTGCTTCGAGAGGGATGAGTTGGGCGACTACGACTCCCTCCCGGAGGAGCTCGCCAGCAGCATCTTGGCGCTCACGTCGCGGTTCTCCGAAAAGCGAGACCACATGCAGCTGTACAGCAGCAATGCCAAGACGTTGATCATGCTCCGCATCGCCAACGGCACGGTGGACATCACGACCATCGAGAGCCTGTGTCTTTTGTCATACTCGTCGTTCATAGGTAAGTAGCGACTCCCTAGACGAGACGAGATGAGATGAGATGAGATGAGATGAGATGAGTAGTAGTAGCCCTCAAAGCTGACCCGCGCAGATGGCAATGTTCACCTCGGCCAGTTCCATCTCGGCCTTTCCCTCCAGCTCTGCCGGTCCGCCACGCTGGACATGGAATCCTCCTATGCCGTGGAGGATCACACCACGGATCGCAAAAAGAGGCTGTTCTGGAGCCTGCAGTTGCTGGAGCAGTCCTACGGCCGGCAAGACGGCCTCTTGGGCTTCCCAAACGACGTGCGCCGGCCCACGCTACCGACCAGCGGGAAGCAGACGGATCTGGACTCATCTTGGGCGCCGCCGCTGCCGCGAGACGACCTGGGCACGACGGCGCCGAGCGAGCCGGGCATCTGGAACACGGGCGTCTGCCTGGGATGGGTTTGGAGCCAGGTCAGGAAATACGTCTCGGACTGCGCGCGCAACATCCTGAAGGAGCCGTGGCGGAACGACTCGACATACGCCAAGGTGCTCTCGGACTTTTTGGAGACGGAGAACAGGATCCCAATGTGCCACCGCTACGACTCGGTCAAGTTCTACGAGCGCAAGATGGACGAGCTCAAGATGAACCGCGACTACTGGGCGCCGTGGCTCAAGGAGCAGTTCACCTACCATGTGATCCCAACCGTCCTCAACCACCCGTTCCTCTACATCGTCGGGGCTCAGCACAACCCGAACCTGGGGATCCCAAACACCTTCTGGAGGCGGTCGTCGGAGCAGGCGTTGCTCCACGCCACCTGGATCGTCCGCATGATCGACATGGTCGTGGACAAACAGGTGCCGCTGGTAGATCCCTTCTTCGGACACGTCGCTGCGATTGCGGCTACCGTGCATCTCTACTACTGCTGCGCCGCGGCGGCGCGGTTGAAGCACAAATCCAACACGGACTTTGCCAAGTGCAGGAGGTTCCTGAAGAGCTTCATACCATGCTCGGCGGCCTGCGGTGCGCTGGTAAGTTGGAATTTCCGTTCGCCCAAATTTTAAATTTTTTTTAAACTTTTTTTTTTTTGCCTTTTTCCGACGAACCTTGTCGACGCTAACGCCGCGCAGGATCGGAACTTGGACAGGATGACGCGCATCGCCGCGGGGAGCGAGAACATGGACGTCGAGGATTGGATGCCATCCAAGATCTACCTCAGCGTGCCCCTGATGTGGGAGATTCTGCAGTTCAACTCGACGGCGGACTCGCAAGAGATCCCCAGCGCCGGCCTCCTGAACGCCTCCCTCACGCCGGCCGTGCCGCCCGTCGACACGAGCGACAGCTCGACGCTCGAGATCATCGTCGCCACGTCGCCCGAGATCACGATCAACATTGCCGACGGCGGGCAGGAGGCGCCGACGTCGTCGTACAAGAGGCCGCCGGTATCGTCATCGGGACTGCGTAACTCAACATCAACAACAACCACTTCTACTTCTGCCGGTGCTGCTACTACTACTAGGGCGGCGTCATCATCGTCGAGGGCGGCCGTGTTCGATCCGCCAACTGTCGAGCAGATTGACAGTCTGACTTTCAACACGACGCCTTGGCTGTACGCGGATCCGTCGCAGCTGCTGGGCATCGGGGACATGGGTTATCCGCAGTCGGAAACGGGCAATGCATGGTGGGAAGGCGAGAACTTTAACAATATCATGTTTAATCAATTTTAGCAATGACCATTCTCCCTCATTACCTGACTATTACCTACTCATCGTGTGCCTTTCGAGGATGAACATCCAAGTTGCATCCGATCAATCCCAAATATAATCCTTCAAACATCACAAAGCGATAGACAAGATCGGCTGCGGAAAATTAGCCAGATGCTGCATCATCAGAAACCATGAGAAAGATCGCTGCACGGAAGAAATCTCCGTTCCCCGCACACGATACTCGGCCTAAAACCAAACCAATAGCCGATGCCAGCCACAGAATGACTCGAAGTGCCACGAGGACACGCAAACGCCAATCAAGAGGCCACGGCATGAATACCATTATGTAACGTGGCTCTCGATTCTTCATCCTCCTGTACCTCAACTTCAACCTGCACCCATGTACAGCAACGCCAGGCGGCGGCTCACGCACTCGGAAGGCCGCTGTGATCCCCCCCCCCCCCAATGCAGTGGATCATGCGGGGAAATAGCAGGGATCAAGTTGCCACCTTGACACTTTTGGTGAAGACGAGCAAGGGATGGTGTGACGGTTGGGGTTATAGCCGCCGGAAGGGGGAGGGGTCGATCAGCAAAAGGTCGGATCCAAAGGCGTTCTAGACCCGGCGGCGTCTTTTGGTTAAGGCGGCACAAGTTCCAAGGGTCCAAGCTGCGGACGACGCTCACCGGGACGCATCGTGCCATTCAGATACATGTACAGGGTACATAGTAAGGGGCGGGCAGCAACTCGGTTGGAAAGGTGGCGGGATGAAAGGGGAGTGTTCATCTCCTCAGCTGTCCTCCTCTCACTGGTTGGTTACCCTCCGGCCTCCGAGGTCGTCTCCCCGTCTACCGGTAGGTTTACCATTTTCATGCATGCTGGATCCAGGGTCCTAAGCAAGACCATGTTTTCTCAGGAGTGCTCACCCGATTCTTACCGTTTCGTGAGTGTGCATTTGCAAGAGAGACCAACTCATTATCGTCGGAGACATACGCAGGGTGCGGTGCAAATCCTCCCTTCCGAGTCTCTGTCCACTGCACCGTCAGGCTTGAGGAAACTCTTTCCTTCTCGGCAGCGATAACGGCAACACTGCTTCTCTTCTGCTCTCTTATCTTGGTCTATCAACGCTTTCGCAAGGGATATGAACCGAGAAAAAGATGCTACCATGGGATTGCCATTTGTTGGCTCGACGCAGCATGCACGTCGGAGACGCCAGCGCACCATCACAGATGCCAAGTGTCGCTGACCGCAGCCTGGAGGAGGCAACCTCCAATCCAAGCAGGACAGCATTCATCAACGATAAGCGCATTTTTTTGACACACGGTCCAGGAACCAAGGAGCGTTTCTGGTGTCGTAGGTTGTAGCGTCCTGTGCAGCCCTAGATAGACTATCGTTAGCCTGCCTGTCAAGGGATCATCGACGGCAAGACAGGTCACAACGGCCCTGCTGCAATTGCAATGGCCGTGTGACTACAGCCTTTCAAGGCGAAACAGGCTTCGCAAAGCTTCGGTGCGCAGATTGACCCGGCAGAGCCAGCAAAGTTGACGCCATGTTCTGGCACGGGCCATTACGGTATACGCAGAGTATAGACGGGACAACTCCAGATGAAAGGATTGCTATACGCAGTGTTTGCCACAAGAAGGGGACATGGGTGGAGAAGGGCAGCCGCGGAGGTCAAGAAATGGTTGATGCCCGACAACTAGCAGGGTGACACGTCCGCATCCCACCACGGTCTGTTGGCGTTATCTCTCCATCAGGATGATCGTGGAACGTTTCAAGGCAGATCGCGATGACATTGATAAGGCCAGCTGATGGAAGAGGCGCGATGCGGCGGGGTAGCGGCGAGATGACCGAGCTCGGAGCTGAGGTTGGCGTCCCGTCCGGCTTCACTCTTCTAACCCCAGGGGGTTGGGGCTGGCAGGACACGACCAAGTATCACGGCTCTTGAAGCGTGTGAGCCGTGCGCGCATCGCCGGCTATCTCTGGCTCGCAGAGGTGACAATATCATGACCGAATCAGACACGCGGGCGAAGTCTATATCACGATAAGCATCAAGACCGCGGTGGTCGTAATGGTGTTGGAGGTGCCAACACGGGCCACGCGCGTCCGGCAGCCCGGCCGGCATCGGCTTCAAGAAACCGATCATGTGACCGTCAACTTGGAGATACCGGGCCACATCCGGCTTGCTGCTATCATTAGCACGCCTAATTGAGTGTAGACTCCGCTTCACTCCCCCCCGGGCTTGTCACTTCTCCACATGCCGATGGGAACTAGACTGCATCGGGATGTTGGAGACGATCATCACGGTGGCTTATAAGTCTTTCTGCAGCGAATGGTCAATTACACTGATAGGTCTCAAGATGCCATCAACAGACGGCTCTCTACGTTCGTAGTTTCTTCAGCGATCTTTCATTCACTGCCCCCCCCCCCCCCCCCCCAAGAAACCAGTATATCTTATGAAAACGGGCCTCTCAGTCATGGATCGCTCACAGCGCGTCGTCATCATCGGCGCCGGCATCGTTGGGACCAATATCGCCGACGAGCTGGTCTCGCGGGGGTGGTCAGACATCACCGTGGTCGAACAGGGGCCGCTTAGCATGCCGGGGGGCTCGACGTCTCACGCCCCCGGCCTCGTGTTCCAGGTGACAGGCTCCAAGACCATGTCTTCCTTGGCGAAATACACGGTCCAGAAGATGCTGTCGATAGACTGCTTCAACCAGGTCGGCGGCCTCGAGGTGGCAGAAACGCCCGAGCGGCTCGAGGAGCTCAAGCGGAAACACGGATACGCCTCCTCTTGGGGCATTCCGGCGCATCTGCTCACCGCCGACGAGTGCATGGCGCTCTACCCCCTGTTGAGCACCGAGGTGGTGCTTGGCGGTCTGCACATCCCAACCGACGGCCTGGCATTGGCCGCAAATGCCGTCCAGCTGCTTATCGAACGCACCCGCAAGGCCGGCGTCCGGTACCTTGAGCACACCCCGGTAACCGGCATCGCGCAGAGCGGAGGCCGTGTCACCGGGGTGGAAACGAAGAACGGCACCGTGCCCGCCGATCTCGTCCTCTCATGCGCCGGTCTCTGGGGCGTCGAGGTCGGCGCCATGGTCGGCCTGCCCATCCCTCTCCTCCCCGTCCAACATCAATATGTGAAGACAACACCAGTACCGGCCCAGAAGGGCAAGAATCTGCCTGTGAACGGCGCACGATCCCCCATCCTCCGCCATCAGGACCGCGATCTCTACTATCGCGAGCACGGCGAGCAGTACGGCATCGGCTACTACGGCCATCGCCCCATGCCCGTGGTCGCTGCCTCGTTGGGCGAGACGCCCAAGCACGTAGACGAGCACAACATGCCGTCCCGTATGGATTTCACACCCGACGATTTCGCACCCGCGTGGGAGCTCTCAAAGAAGCTCATCCCCGCCCTGGCAGAGAGCGAGATCGAGTATGGCTTCAACGGCATCATGTCCTTCACCCCAGACAACGGTCCCCTTATCGGCGTGGCGCCCAACCTGGAGGGCTTCTTCGTTGCCGAGGCCGTCTGGGTGACACACTCTGCGGGTGTCGCGCGTGCGGTCGCCCAGCTCCTCACGACCGGGCACTCCGAAGTCGATCTCTCCGAGTGCGACATCTCGCGCTTCGAGCAGGTCCAGCTCGCTCCCGAATACGTCAAGGAGGTTTCCGCACAAAACTTCGTCGAGGTCTACGACATTCTGCACCCTTCACAGCCCCGCGAGTCGCCTCGCAACTTGCGTATCAGCCCCTTCCACTCCCGCCAGCAGGAACTAGGCGCCTACTTCCTCGAAGCCGGCGGCTGGGAGCGTCCGCAGTGGTTCGAGGCCAACGCGAATCTCCTCGGCCAGCTGCCCGAGAAGTGGAAGCCGAAAGAGCGCGACGCTTGGTCTGCCAGGTATTACTCGCCGATCGCCGCCGCAGAAGCCTGGAAGACGCGAACCGCCGTGGCCATGTACGACCTCACGCCGATCCGTCGTCTGGAAGTGTCTGGGCCTGGCGCAGTTGAGCTGCTGCAGCGGTTGACCACGAGCGACATCTCCACGAGCCCGGGAACAGTCACATTTACTCTCCTCTTGGACGGGCACGGAGGCATCCGCAGCGACATCTTCGTGGCCAGGCTTCGCAACGATCTGTTCCAACTAGCCGTCAACGGCCCTGCAGATTTTGCCTACTTGTCTCGGGAAGCTCGCCTCCAGGCGGAAGCCTCTCCGGCAAAGTTCGTTCAGGTGCGCGACACCACGGGAGCGTCTGGTGGCATCGGGCTCTGGGGTCCTCGTGCCGCCGACGTTGTCAGCGGCATCAGCTCGGACAACCTCAAGGATATGCCTCCTTCTCACGTCAAGTCGGCCATCATTGCCGGCATCCCGGTCACCGTCATCAGCCTCTCATTCGTTGGCGAGCCGGGATGGGAGATCTACACGAGTGCCGAGAATAGCCTGCGCCTCTGGGACACTCTCTGGCAGGCCGGAAAGCCGCACGGCATCATCGCCGCCGGCCGCGCTGCGTTCAGCGCTCTGCGGCTGGAAACGGGATTACGGACGTATGGCGCCGATATCACCTCGGAACACAACCCGTTCGAGGCCGGGCTCGAATCCGCCGTCGATCCCGAGAAGCAGGGCTACGTCGGCCACGACGCTATCAAGAGACTTTCGAAAGAGAATGTCTCCAGGCGACTGCGCTGTCTCACAATCGACGACGGCCGCTCGGTCGTCTTGGGCAAGGAGCCCGTGTTCCTGGACGGCAAAGCAGTCGGCTATGTCACGACTGCCGCCTTTGGATACACAATCGGCAAGCCCATCGCTTATACCTATCTGCCCAGCAGTATCAAAGAAGGTGCTAGCGTGGAGGTTGAGTACTTTGGCCGCCGGATCAAGGCTACCGTGACAGCAGAACCATTAAATAAAGCCTCGGGAGGCGTATCGGTGGCCGGCCCAACTCCTAAACGTGTAGCCATCAGGTCACGACTGTAATGACTGAAGGATCACAAACCATTTCACATCTCATAGTAACGAATAGCGTCTGTTTTATAGCCCTGGACTTTATAGTAATAACTGGTAGTTCAGTCGGCGAGAATAATGATTTTGATTGCATTGAAAATTACTTGGCACTATGTTTGCTCCCAAAAACCATTAATGCCTTGCTAAATTGGCAAACATATACTCGCCGTTGTTGACTCTTATTGTTTTCTTTCACTAATTTCAAACAGAAGTTGGGCTCTGTATGTATTTGTGCACTAAGCACTAGATAGAATCTGATCCGGACCTATCCATATGCAACCCACTTATATCTACCAATTCGACCTCTTTGTCTTCTGAACAATCCTCAGAATTCCCGATGGCGGTAGCCCCCCTGCCCACGAGAGCTCGAGGGGGATCTCTCACGCTCCCGCGCTCTCTCACGTTCTCGCTCTCGTTCACGCTCGCGCTCTCTTGCGCGCTCCCTCTCCCTCTCGCGCGCTCGCTCCCTCTCTCGTTGCCTCTCCCGTTCCCTCTCCCGCTCTCTCTCCTGTTGCCTTTCCCTTTCACGCCGGCGAGCTATTCTTTCTTCTTCCAGCATAGCCTGCGCAGTAAGTGGTTCCATTAGTAAACGTACAGACATGGAATGATTTGAGAGGTTTTGGTATCATAAGCTTGGATGAGTTCTTGCAATACAGCAGAAAAGGGGATGCTTGCCTCAGCCCATTCCCTGGCCTCTTCCTCCTCCTCGGCTCGGTTCTCTTCTCTTTCTCTTCTCTCTTGCATTCTTTCCATCCTTGTCCGGAGGATCTCGTCGTCGCGGTCTTTATCGTACTTCTCAAGCATCTTGACTATGAGCGAAAGTCAGTTGAGCTTCCCAGAGAGTCAAAAGTTGGTTAAGCAGTGGCTTGAAGATGTGGACTCACTAGGTGAGTATTTCTCAGTTTGACACAGAGTCTTTATTAGAGGTGCTGCGTTTGATTATTGCAGTGCTGCGCTGTTCTTTGACGTTTTGATTGGTGTATGTAAAGGGTACAAACATACTATAATTCTCAGATATCATTTATACGTCATTGTAGTAGTTGTAGTCACTGCATGTCTCTTTGCCTGGTAATAGTGAATGGTGGTGGAATCTTACTTGTAAGTTAAACGGTATAGTAATTCATTAGTAGTAAGCTATCCTATTCACTCCTAAAGTCCTATTCAATTACAACAGCAGATGGCGGAGTACAGCCAGGTCAAGTACAAGGTGGCAGAAGCTATTAGAGTATACTGAAAAGGTGAGGAACTACATAGCTGCCACCAAAGACTCTGACCATCAGCCATCTTCCCAAGTACAATTCGTGCGTCGGACACAGGCCAACCAGTCCAGGCATGAAAACGTGTTGGAGAGCTGGGTGAAGAGAGAGCTCTAGATCCTGTAAGAGCTTTTCCAACGAAGGAGGCCTTCAGAACTTACATCAGCCGCCCGAAAGTAACCTTATCACATTAGATTTTACTCATAGAAGAGACGCTAAGTCTTGAGCTCTCGGAAGATCAACATTGTGGAGTTTATATAATATCAATGGTAACATGAAGAAAATACTGTTTTCACCGACCGGAAAGTAGTTTGATGAACCTGTTTATTTTCAAGTGGCTGTTCGTTGGATTTTCCTCCAGTAGAGCTCCGACAAGCGACTCAAAACTTTTCCTTTCACCAAGACAAGCTCATTTCTTAGTTTGACATCTTACATTTCTTGAATAGAGGTCACTAGCCCTTATAAAGATTATCATTTTACTTCCTTGTATTCCCTAGAATTCTATGCAATGTTAATCTGAAGTAGCCTATGCCTATATCTACCAAATGACCCCGTCATTTCTTTCCTCAACCAGAACTAGCGGTTGCGCTGGCGTCCACGCTCAATAGACCTCTCACGCTCGCGCTGCCTCTCCCTCTCGCGCGCCTCATTCTCGGCACGGGTTTGCTCACGAGCTCTTTCTATATCCTGGCGGATTCTCTACATTTTGGGATAACTCGTTAGTCAATGTACAGACCTCAACGATATGACCGATACTTGTTGATTGAACCCCTAGTGTTCATGATCATATCGTATGTTCTACTGGAGATGGAAGGGGTACTTGCGTCAGCCCATTCCCTGGCTTCTTCTCGACTTCTGCGAGCCGCTTCCTCTCTTTCCTCTTTCGTTCGACGGAGCTCATCGTCGCGGTTCTTGTCGTATTTCTCAAGCATCTTGATTGTGGTCAAAGTCGGGCTGTCTCTTCCAAACAGTTGTGATACACTACATCGATCAATGTAACGATGTCTTGGAGGGATTAACTTACTGGATACGTGGTTCTCGGCTAGTTGCAGGGGTTGATGCAGAAGTGGTATGATGTGTTTTGTTACAAGAGCTGTGTTGCTGTCTGCGGTGCTTTGGTAGGTTTGTGTTCAAGTCTCTTGGGCCGCAAAGAAATCTTTTTAATACAATAAACCAAATGGCAATCACCGTATCACTTCTGTGATAGTCATGGTGAATGGGAGTAAGGTGAATTGGATGCTGAGAGCATTCCGTACTACCGCAACGATATGATTCATACGTTCAGTGAGTGGGCCGGTTTGATCCAACCAGTCAAAGACGCCAACCCTCACGACTCCTAGGAGCCTGATTCCTGGATCTGGCCTGAGAACTTGGAGGAGCCACAACGTCTATCTTATGAACTGCAGAGGTAGCGCTGGGTAGATGGATGGTAGCTACGCTCTTCGCACGATCCATTCCTGGAAATGTTACTGTTCCTATCATAGATACCTTCCTCAACAAGCTCGGGTGGGTCAATCTGACGTGCTGTGTCGCTGCTATGTTTGAATCTTGATAGCATTCCCAAGCCACGGAGAACGCGAATCAAATCAACAGGTCAAGTGACTCCATTTCAGTGGCTCCCTGGAAAAGATTCTTGGGTTATTCGACTTCCAGCTCGTATGCCCTTCATACAAAAATGGTCACAGAAATTTCCTTTTCCTGAGTATTGAATTTGAAACCATCAGTTGTTCGTGCACGGCTTAAATTTGAAAGAGAACTAATTAGAATCTCGTGGTGTTATTTACAAGAAGGTTCTTCTCCGGTGCTTTCTATCTTGGTCCCTCCCTCAATTCGTACTTCATAAGTTTTGTGTACGTAGATACCTCCTTCAACTTGTTCACTCGTCTGTTTGCTGTCCAATGGACTTGACTCGGTAATCATGGCGGAACGAGACACTGTATTGGGGCAATACCCATTGCCGTCCCGGTCTTTGGCCGAAGACCTGTGGTCAGCCTTTTTCCCTCTGATGTATCTCCTGAAGCCACTCGTGAAGAGAATTCTCAGCGGTGGCAGTGAGCCGACGATTATAGAGACGCCGAGCTCGGTTATGCTCCAGATGGAGAGTCCGACCTTGTCCAGCGTATGCCCCTTCATCGCTTGTGTCATGCGGATGACTGCTATGAGGATGGTGATCAGGGCAAGGCTGAAAGCCACAGCGAGGCCCAGTTTCTTCCTGATTTCGAGTTGCAGCGATGGGAGCATGGCGATGGGGAGACCCATTATCATCAAATCCGTGGCAATGTCGACAGCGGCTGCGTAGTAGGCGCTGTAGCGAACACGGTCGACCTCCCTCGGTGAAATGCATTTTCCTGCGACGATGGCTGAGTCAGAAGGGTTCAGCTGAGGAAGAAGACTATCTCCGGTCCACGGGGCCAAGAAAGACATTGAGACCTTACCTGGCACAAAGGAATCGGTAAAGCGATCGCATGTCAGAGCGCCGGTGACCCATCCACCGATATAAGCGAGGAGAGTGAAGAGGGCAACCGAATACCATGCTTTCTTCAGTACTGGAACCGGACTGACGAGGTGGAAGAAGACGGTTAAGATGCTTGCTTTCACCGCCCAGAGACCCGTCCAGTATATGTAGTTCATTGCGTAAGACCACCGCAACCATTGCTCAGTTTGCTGTGACACCTCTTGTAAAGAGGTCGGGATCAATCGTCCTGCCTGGAGATGGATGAGGTAGTACATCGGACCGGTCTGCTCCATCTGTATAACGACCAGAGACAAAAGAAACAACCAGCCGAGGATTATGCAGTAGTCGTCGAGTAAGAGGCGGCGGTTGCGGCGCCAGCGAATCAAGAGACGAAACAGCAGGAAGATGAACGAGGTCGATGCATTGCCCCAGCCTATGGCTATCAAAGTCCGGCCGTCGATGTTCTGCGCAGCGCCGAACAGAACTGCATCAGGTTCGGCCGCCGGCGACGACATTACTGGCGGTGAGCGGGGGTCGAGTCTGGCGAGGGCTCAACGAAGGGCTCTGGGGCTATCGAAACGAGGAGTAGTTGGAAGTGGCATCGGCCGACGAAGTAGACAAGCGTCAGAGGCACCGGAGGTTTGATATTGCACAACTACTACGCTGGTTTATATGGTATTTTGAAGGTTCAGCAATTGACCACGGGAAGCATCGCCGAACATGGATCATCGCCTTCTTCCCTGCTCTTCCAGCCTTCGTCTGGTCCGTACAGGAAAAGCAGGCAAGATACAGTGATTTTTGTTTCTGGTGGCGCCGGCAAACATCTCTGGGCTAACGATTTATTTGTCTCGAGTTTGCAAACAATGGTCCTTCCTTGAGATCAGCGCGGTGCCAAGATACGAGGATGCGCCTGGTGGGATGACAAGTACCAAGAATGATGACCATGGCGAGAACTGCGGACTCTTATCACACAATCCTATTGGCGAGAATTCGATATCCGAGCAAAAACAGGGGTATTGGCGCTGGCTGGGAAACCAGTTCTAAACCAAGTAGACATGAGTGATTGGCATTGCCAGAGAAGGCAGAGAAACCAGAATAGTAAGCCCGTCGACCAGTGCGTTATAAGCCAGGACTTACATGCGGCATGTCTCGAAGGTCCCTGGCCCAGCGGCTTCTGGGCGTTCGAGCATGGTTCAGATCCACGCTAGTATCGGGCGAGCAGACGATCAAAACTGGCATTATATCGACCATTTTTAGCCATGGCCAGTTTTGCATGCGTGGAGCTTCGTCCAAGACCTCTGCTGGGCGACGAAAACACGAGATATGGCGAGGTTGCTTGCGCTAAGAAACCCCTGGTCCGAGGTGACGCCTGGAGCAAACAATGCTATATTATCCTGGTCAGCAAACTGAAAGCCTGCAATTCCGGCCATATAGAGGGAAACATAGTCAGCTAAATTACATACGCTCTAGATGCGCTGCAGTCTCGGTGTCCTTGAGTGTGCATTTCAAAGAATAAAAAAATAAAATAAAAAAAGAAGAAGAAACATTCGGAGCCAAACTGGTCTTTGTGTTATTCTGTCAATCTCATCTGGTGATTTTGTAAGCCCCAGAGGGAAAAAAACATGGTCTTTGAAAAGACATTGTGTTTGTGAGTATTATGGGATTCTCAAAGTATCCAAGGACAAGACCATCGGGCGAAGAAATAGACGTCTCTGGGCTTCCATCAGACATCAAGCCTCAACACCCATTGTCAACAGTTAGGTGAAGAGGAAAGAAAAGCAAGAGAAGCTGATGCTTTTGCCCTCTATTCCGGAAATAGCCCGGTCACTTGATGGCACATTTGTGATGCTCATTGGTGGTGCTTCCCATACCAACAGGAACGGGCATCTCGTCTTTCTCACCCTTGCGACGCCAGTCACTCGGGCGGAGCTGCCCGGACACTATTCCCTGACCTCCGCCGCCCTATTTCAGTTTGGGCCAAGATAGTTCATTTGTATGGGTGCACCTTTTCGTCGCCGTCTCAGGTATCCGAGCTGTAATTAACCGCCGGGCCACCAAGTCCAGCGGCATTCATACAGATAACGCATCGGTTGCCATGTTACAGGCATCCGGGGGTGATGTAGTATTATGGCTCATCTTTCCCTGTCGTAGGATTTCCGGGTTCTCGGATCGGGATGGTGGATCGTGTTTGATTAATACCGTTTCCCACTCGTTGGTTCTCGATGGCGAGACAGCTTGAATTTCCTGCGTATCACGCGTCGAGTCCTCCAATTACCAGCATCGTCAAGCCATCGAACACCAGATTGTTTGCAGAGCCGAAGGACAGTCATTAATCCATAAACGACCAACATCTGTTTTGACTGCCATTGCTGCGCGGGCCCTGAAATACCGAGTCCAAAGATGCACAGGTTCACTAGCCAGCGGCCATGATGTCGCGCTGTCACTTTGAATCCTCCACGCCACGGCCCAGCTTGGACGGGACGCAAGCCGTCGCACGTTGGAAGGGATCAGGTGTCGCAATATAGGCAAGCGGGCGGTTTCCAACTTTGCCGGCATGGGCATGGCCGTTTTACCAGGGAGTGGCCCTCGACCCGTCCTCGTAATACATTCATTTGGCGAACTTGAGAGTCTGTCGTGGACTCAAGCCCCATGAGACCGTATAACCCGGTATGTCCACAAGTCTTGAAATTATTGTTCGCAAAAATATGAGATCACACTCGGGAAGATGACGAAGATTGCGGAAGCATCTTTTGCTCGCATTAGCATTGGACATGCTGTATTCGTGTCCTCACCCACTAGACGCTTCTGACTCCCTGCAGTAACTTCAACGGGAGCGACAAGCCCGACCTCATCTCGGTGGATTGCAGCGTGCGGAGCCCAGGCCCATTCTCACTCCGCATGTCACTAAGCTCGTCATTTCGAATTGCGCAGTGATCGAACGGCAGATCGCTTCCCCAGTCCGGGACAACAAGGGCCGGTCTACATCGCCAGCCCCAGTGAGTTCAAGTCCCCGCACTCGTTTCCGCTCATCGGACCTGAAAATCACGCCATCGGTGCCGAGATCCATCCTCTCGGTGCCATCTCTCGGTTTTCCCAATCACAAGTTCACAAAGACCAAGGAGTCGCCCCACCTCAAGGGCGTTGGCTTCATCAACAGGTCTAGTTTCCACTTCCGCTCCCAAAATGACGTGTCGCAAATCACAAATCTCAAACCGCGCATTTGCAGTTCTACCGAAAGTAAGTTAAAGACGTGCTTTTGACGTAAGCTGTTGCATCGTGGATCTCGCATCGGACCCGACGGATGCCGGCCCAGTGTAAACTGCGGTGTCCATAACCACGGCAACGACCCCCTCCAGGAGGTCCACATCTGTCTCTCCCCTAGGAGCGACGATGGAGTCGTGTGGCAACTCAAGAAGGGCAAAGGCCCTCAAGTTGACTGGGCCCGATGGCTTTGACAAAATCCCTCTGTTGCGGGTCAATGGCACCCGGCTTGCAAAAGAAGTTGTGCACTTTAGTAATGATAAGGTATATTCAGTACCTACACATATCTAATACAGAAGACAAATGACCAATTAGAAGGGTAGAAAGCCTATAGTCAATTCTGATTAACTTGTAGAATTTCAGTTAAGCTGATTCTTATATATTTACCGTTAAATAGGTGGACCGATGGCCTCTATGGTAGCAGGCTCTACAGTGTACTTTTTTTTTTCTCTTTTTTTTTTCTTTTGCCAAGCCGGGTGAACGGGTACGGACACACGTATGGTGCTACGGCTCCTCCAGTGATGCTGTTCAAAAACCCAGCATGATGGCCTATCATGAAGTCCACAAGAATGTGAATATCTCGACCTTCCGGCGATAAGCGTCTGCTTGTAAAGCTAACATTTGAGATGCATTAGTCTTTTCTCAGTTTAGCCAACCTGTTCCATCGGTTGTTCCAGATTATATCCACCGAGCCTTCCATCGATGTTTCATTTCTTTTTTTTCGGACAAAGCACTTTCGGTAGCACATGTTAAGGGGGTTATAAAAGTCTATTAGGGGTCATGAGTCCGGAGTGAGGCTGAATGCTTGAACAAGAAGCCATACTCTTGTGAACATTTAATCATACAGAGCCATCGTGCTACACAAGTGATAGGACATGGCTCGAGAAAACTTTTCAACTTTTGACAGGTTCCAGATAACGCAAGGGGTATTATTATCCGAAGGGGAAAAAAACTAGGAAATAGACGCTGGCGGCATTTAGCCAAGAAGAGCGCACGTGAACGGGCTGCTGATCTTTCCGCTCTTGAACTTGAGATCCTGTTGAAAGCGGTTAGCGGCGTGCTCGATGGCCGGCTACAGTGGAGGGGGGAGACTTACAATCTCAACAATACTGGCGTAGGTACCGCAGATGAGGACAACGATGCCGATGATAAAGACGAGACCGTTGAGGAGGGTCCTGGTCAGGTTCTGGGTGGCAAAAGGAGAGCCATCGCGGATGAGCATGAACCACATCAGGGCGGGGAAGTAGAAGGTGAAGCCGGAGATGAAGAGGGAGGAGCTGATGGACAGGAGCTCGGAGAAGAAGGGGATGGCCTCGGCGATGAGGAAGGCGATGATGGTGATGACGGTGATGAGGCCCAACCAGGTGATCCAGCCCATCTTGGTGTTGATGAAGCGGATGACGGAGTCCTTGTAGACGCGGCCGTGGATGTAGCGGCCGACGACGGTGGTGTTGATGGATCCGGAGATGAAGATGACGGGCAGCGCGACTCCGAAGGCGACCTTGGAGATGGTGTGGCCGGCGGACAGCAGGGCGGGGGACTTGACCTCCTGGCCAACGAAGGCGTAGATGGTGGCGCCGGTGAGGGTGTAGATGAAGATCTCAATGAGACCGAGGGCCCAGATGGACTTGACGTAGTCGCGGGGGGTGTGCATCTCGTCCATGAAGGAGAACTGGCAGATGGCGAAGGAGTAGGCGAAGACGATGTTGGTGATGGCGATGAAGGCCTCGGCGAAGGTGACGCCCTCCTTGGGCCAGGCGGACCAGGCGGCGGTGGTGATCTCGCCCCTGTTGACGCCGGTGGCGATGATGGTGATGCCGATGGCCAGGATGATGGAGACGAAGTCGATGTATCCGAGGATGGCGACCTCGGCAAAGGAGGGGGGGATGGCGAGGACCAGGAGGATGATGGCGGAGACGACGGCGAAGACGATGGAGCAGGCGCCGTTGTTGGTGATGTTGCCGAAGGCGATGGCGCCGGTGAGGGTGTGGGAGCTGACGAGGAAGGTCAACTGCAGGGCGAACATGGCGCCGATGATCTCGTAGCCCCAGCGGCCGAACATGAGCTGGCCGGCGTCGGCGTAGTGGGAGACGTGGGGGAACTTGATCTTGACCTGGCCGACGACGTCGCTGGTGTAGATGGCGATGAAGCCGAGGCCGAGGGAGAGGATGACGCCGGCGACCATGCCGAGGGTGGCGAAGGCGGCGGGCAGACTCAGGGAGCCGAGGGCGATGGCCTCGACGATGAGGACGACGGTGAGGCGCTTCCAGCCCAGGCGGTGGAAGTGGGCGCTGCCCTGGGCGGCCTTTTGCTTCTCGAGGTCTTGGTGGTTGAGGTCGGTGACCTCGCCGGCGACCTCGCCGGGGAAGACGGCATCGCGGGAGAACTGGGGGGTGACGTCGGCGCCGTCGGACTTGACGTCCTTGCTCTCGTAGGCGCCGGCCTGGTTCTGTCTGATCTGGTCGTGGTCCATTGTGATGATTATGTTGTAGCGGTTCCGACCTCTTTTTTTTTTTTTTTTTTTTCTTTTCTTCTTTTGTCCCGGTTTGTGTGGCGTGGGTCCTTGGGCGGAGAGTGATGTCAACTGAGAGTTGCCGACAGTTGTTTTATATGTTGAAAACAAGAGACTTGGTGGCGCAGCAACTTTAAGACCACACGTACACAAGGTGAACCGGGTCGAGTTGGTCGGACTTCAGATGAAGGAAGGGGAGCAGTGAAGAGAGTGTCAAGTGCCGCTTGGACTGATGGAGTGAAGAGGGAGAAAAGACATCGACTTGAAGGGAAAACAAAGGCAGCATATATGGTGGCGAAGGCGGAGCATCAGCACCGACCACGGAGTCAGGCCGAGAGAAGTTGAGAAGCAAGTCGATAACCTCTATCGACTCGCCCCCGGCAGAGACGATTCATCTGACCGGGGTCTTATCTTTTGGGCCCCGCGATCGTGGGCGGTAACACCGGCAGCCAGAGAGTTCGTCAGAGTAGGGGGCCAGTTTAGATGGAGCCAGAAACGGTTATCAGAAGATCTCACAAAGGTCATTTAGTCACATCCAACCCGTCCCCCTTGCCCTTCCCATGCGTCGTGGGATTGCGGGGGAATAAACCGTTGCACAGCTTCCCCGCGAAATCGGAACTTGCGTCCCTGAGATTCCGGATATGACACTGGCCGTCTACCGCTCCCGGTTTTCCCAGCTGAAGGGGGAAGGGGGAGGTTTTGCGATGTCAAGAAAACCAGGCTCGCCGAGGGCGAGAAGCGCGCCGCAGAGGGCGTGCTCGACGCCTCGATGGAGCCGGACAGGCAGCGCTGCGGGGACTTGAGGCAATTGGAAGAGTTTTCGCATCGTAATACTGTGGATATCGTGACCTATTCTTTACCTAACGGACCCAGACGCACAGCCGTAGGGTGGCCTCACCTCTGGCCCCTTGACTCGGTCCATGTCAACGATCAAGCCCGAAATACGACCGGTGGCGCTGGGAAGCGACTTGTGGGATGGGCCGGGATGACCGGTGGGATTCCTGTTGACCCTGCACGCACGCACGGCATCTGCGAGATATCACAGCGCAAGGGAGAGAAGAGAGAAAGCTTAGCTTATCTTTGTTTGTTTTTTGCCTCATCTCCCGATGACTGCAACCCAACCGCGAGAGAAACAGCGTCATTGCCACCCTCCCCCCCCCTTCCCACGAACATCAGACGTTGGGCCAAGAGTGTGAGGCTCAACGACGTCGGACGGGAGAACGAGACCAGAACAAGCCAAGGAGGATCGATTGCCGAACAAGGGGGGGGGCTTGAGCCCGTCCCAGAAGAAAACCCTCCCATAGGCCGGGACTCAAGGCCCGTCGACAGAGTCTGCAGCCATGAGCCGATGCGCTAAACCAGCCATGGCCACAACGCCGACTTACCCGCCGTGAGAACCGGGTAGGGCGAAACGTAATAGCGTCGTTCCCGGTCCCGTGCATTCCCGAGGCCCTCCAGGCGTCATCCTGGTGCGTCACCACTCACACCTTTGCTCGCCGTCACCCATCAGGAAGGCTTCTAGAAGATCGCCTGCATGGCCCGCGAAGGCTTGTCGACGCCTCCTACGTGATTCCCTGGTCGCCAGCGAATGAGAGGCTGCCTTCAGGCTCGAGCCCCTTGTCCATCCCCTCCCCTGGCATGTGTCCCACGCTCGGTGCGCGTTGGCAAGGCGAACGAACAGAACCAAATCTCACGCAACATCACGAGAATGATATCCTTGCTTGAGACGGAGTGAGGGCTGGCTTTCTGGTTGCCACCCACGGCGCGGTGGATGCTCGAACCAAACCCCAACTTCTGTGCAGACCCCTGTTTTCTTTTCCTTGCTTTCTCACCCGCCTCTGAGAAGACTATGACTGGCTAGAGCGTACGACTTCCCAGTTCTTTGACATGCAACCATGACCAATTCGAGAGATAACGGGTTCGGAGGTCGAATGGGGTGGGAGGGGAGGGAGAAAGGGGAACAGCGGCGTGGGCGCATTTGCACCGAGAGGTTGCCCGACATTAGATGCGATAAACATAGCACAACTAGCTAGCATGGCTCAACCGGTTTCAAAGAGAGTGTGGGTGATTAAACAAAACAAAAAAAAAATCCCGCTCATTTCCTCGCAAATGGCGGGATTAAAAAAACAAACACATGAGAGATAAGGCAGTCGAATCAGTCAAGAGGGTGTGTCGCATTTGAAAGCGATGAACCAGTCATTTCGTCTTGATTCCCGCCGATCTATCCATCGCCAATATGGCGGTCCCGAAGGCGAAGCTTTCAAGCCAGCGTCAACGACTCGGCCGACGGGCGCCGCAACACCAACACACCCGGGAAGCCACGTCGACGCGCTTTGCGACGGATTATTGCTCGCGCCGCCTTGGCCACTGTGGCAAGGGGTCGGCCAAGGGGCCGGTCAGGGGGCTGGCTTGTCTCTGCATTACCTACTTTAGGAACGGAGTACACACTAGAGACGGGGAGCCCGCAGCCAACCCTGGCGTCAGACCACAGGTCCGACCAGGGGGTGCGACGGTGAGGGTTGGGACGAAGCTGTTGGCAATTCCCATCGCGTCATTGAATCCGGGGTAACATTTTGCGGGGGTTAGGGCGTATGTCTGCTTCTGAAAATGGTTACCTATGCGGGAATTCTGCAAGTTATTGTCGACGACTCATGGTCTCGTTCTAGACTATCTGGGTGTTCGTGAGCTGACAGTTCGTTGGGGGGGGGGGAGGGGGAGTTTGTTTTGTTCACTGAGTCATGTCGTATCATGTTCTCTCCCTCTTATCGTCGGTTTCAGCCGAACGAACGCATCAATAACTGTAATTGCCGCAGGACAGGTAACCCCGCCAAGACGTCGACTCCGAGAAAGCGGACGATGTGTCAGCAGCGAATCTACCGGTTCGTTCACTGGTTGTGCCCGAACTCCCTGGAGACCCGGGGAGGAGTCGACGGAGCCGGGCTGGACCAATCCTGGCTTAGGTATTTGACTTGACAAGAGGAAGGTTTGAACAAAGGATGAGGAGGATAAACATGTGGGTTTTGTTTTGCTACATGACCCTGCGTTCCCACAACGCCCACGCGTCGTTGAGGGCCGGCAGGCAATGCTTGTCCTTCCACAGAAACCTCGCGAGGACCTGCTGCAGGTTCTTGCGACTGCACCTCTCCGGCGGCAAGACGTCCCGGGCCCTCTCCAGCACGTCGAGCAGCCTCGACAGGAACCACGCGCGGTCCTCGGCCGCCGTCCCGGAGCCGACAACGCCCACGAACAGGATCCACAGCAGAGCGGCGTCGTGCGACACCCAGACGAGGGCGATGGCGTCGGCGTCCTCCAGGGCTGCCCGCATCCTCGCGACTAGGATGCGGGCCATGTGCCCGGTCGTCGGGACCTCGCGCAGAACGGTGTACAGGAACACGTGGGCCGCCGAGACGAGAACGAGGAAGCGCTTCTGCACTGGCGTCGCTGTCCGGCGCTCGGCGTACAAGAAGTGCAGGATCGCGTTGTCGGCCGTGTTCATGACGATGCGGATGTCGTCGGCCGCAACGGCCCCCGCCTGCGAGCAGATGGCCTGCCTCACCGTCGTGAAGATCTGGCGTGGCTCCTTGCTCTCGTCCGTGTCGTGGCCCGCAAGCCTGTCGAGGTGACGCAGCGAGGGCGTCGCTGCGCCACTCACGACCGACGACGGGAGGGAGATCTGGTCGAGAGTGTGGAACATGGGCAGCACGGGAACTCGTCCCAGCCCGGACGCTACTTGGATTTCCGTCCTGGTGTAGAGATTTGGTGAGCGAGTGTGTCATGGTTTTTTTTTTTTTTTCCAAGCGTCGGCAATGAGTCTTCACCAGTTGATGCAGCGGCAGAGGATGTAATCGTGCTTGATCGTGTCCGGCCCGCCGCGAGCCATGATCAAGGCATGAAGCCCGGCCAGGTGGACTTCGGCTGCCGAGAAGTGACCTTGGAACGCCTACCCATGTTTTTTCGTCAGCATTGCAAGTGCTGCCGTATGCAGGGACGGCGAAGGGACAACTCACTTCCACGCTGCTAAGCATGGCTACACCAGCCAGCACGGAAAGGTCGTCGCTCGCCCGCTCAGCCGTCTCTCGGGATTCCAAACGGCTCCTGAGCACCCGCATAGCCTCGCCCTTTTGCGTATACCCCTCTCGCTGGAGCGTGAGGTCGGGCGACGGCATCGACGCCGCGAGGAACTCGGCGGCCAGCGCGAGCGTGGTGCGCAGGATGAGAGCGCTCTGCATGGCGTAGGGGAACCATGGCCTCTTGTTATCGGCCGTGGTCGAGTTGAGGTTGAACCTGGTGGTGACTGCACAGTGAGCAGTGAGCACTAATTAACTAACAAGAGAAAAAAGAACGGGGGCCGGGCTGGGCTCGGCCGAGTCTAGAACACAACACGGGGTTCATCTCACAGTATTTAACCAGAGCGTCGACCGATGGAGTACCGGGGATCGGCAACGTGTTGAAGGGGTCGGCACTGTCGCTGCCCAGTCTCTGAATCCACGGCGGAAGAGAGGCCTGTGCCAGCAAGTCATAGACATCCGGAGGCTGGCAAGAAGTGAGTGAGTAAGCGAGCGAGTGAGTCTGATGGGAAAAAGGGGGAAACAAGTAAGTAGTCTCGTCATACAGCAGCAGGTCCAGCGGCATCCTTGCGGCGTCGGTTCTTTGGGTTTTTGGGCTTGACCGCTGTGCCGCCCAGCCTGAAGCGGCCTCTCAGTTGCGCCTTGCCCCTTATGGTCCCTTGAGAGATGAGGGCAGTCGAGGCCCCCAGCTCAGACTCGCCCCGTTGGATAGCGGTCCGGATGGCATGGCTTCGGACGGTCCTGGTGGCTGGCTGGAAGGTCCCCTGAACAGCGTCGACGGTGATGAACTTGTAGTCGGGCTCGGGACCCATGTGAAGCGTTCAAGCAGCCAAGCAGCGGCTACTCGGGGGGCGGCTCTGAACGTCACTTGGTCACTGTCTGTTCCAACCGTGCCGGGAAACCCTCCCGTACCCCTGGACTAATGCTCAATGACGCTGCGCGTCAACGAGAGCCGCCTGGATTGGCCAGCACCGGCGAAGAGTGGTTTTGTTACGTCAATCAGGTACACGGGTAGAGCTCGTCTGTCGGTCCGCGACTTGTTGTGGCTGCTGGCAGTGAGTAAGCACCCATGGAAATGGTCTGACGCCGTCGCGAAGGATCGCCGCAGGTGAGGGGGACGAAATGAGGGGAAGGATCCGGGGGGTTAGCAGTCTCACTTAGTCTCTCACTCACTTGCTCACCTCTCATCTCCCCCTCTCACTTGCACTCTCATCCTTATCTCACTTTCACTCTTATCTCACGTTCACTCTTATCTCACGTTCAATCTTATCTCACATTCAATCTTATCTCATTCTCACTCTTACTCGCACTCTCACTGACGGGTGCTGTACCACAGCACTTCGAAATAAGCGAGTTTCCTATTTCGGCCTAAGTGATGAATTAATAACCAAGTCTAGCCAATGGGGTCCCTGCATTGCTATAGAGCGGGGTAGAGACTGTATCCACAAAGATGATTGGACGCATCACATGATCTTTCTTACTAATCTGGGAAGGCTTGCTTGGTGCGTACGGTACGTACCGGTGTCCCCTATCCACGCGGCGATTCGTCCGTCTTCGGTCTCCGCGCGGACAAAAAGATCAGTAAGCCGTAAGCACTTGTATGATCCTTAACGTCAGCGAGAGACATTGGTTATACTTGAGATAATGCCGTTTTGTCCGTTTTCCTCGCAAGAGGCCACGTTGTGTTCCTCGCGAAGCCTGTTGTCCTAGTGTCCAGTAGGGCGCTGTCCATATTTGTTGAATTCGTGAACCAGAGTCGTGCTCCATTGTTCAACCATAAGCATGGACGAGAGACCGAACAAGAAGCGTAAAGTCCGCAAGGGAACGAGGAGCTGCTGGCAGTGTAGGTTCGTCCGAGCATAATGCCGCTTCCCCGAACCTCGACCGTTCTCGGCATCCCCCCCCCTTTCCAGTCTCTGACATCTTTCTTGTTCAGGTAGAAAGAGAAAGATCCGCTGCGAGTTCGCGTCCGATGATGAGGAGACGTGCAACGGGTGCCAGGTCCGCGGCACCATCTGCATCAGTCAAGAATTCGCCGACGAGGAGCAGTCCGCCCCCCCCGAGCGCGGTCTTGCCCAGCGGCTGGGCCGGCTGGAGGAACTGATGTTGAAGCTGGCCGACAAGATAGGACCGGACGCGGTCGCCGTCAACAACAATGCAATCACGCCGGCACCGTCGGTCGAAGGCTCTCAAGGTGCGGCCCCGCCCCGTAGTCCGCCCCCCGATCTGGCGAGGCCTTCTACGAACGTCACCCTGATCTCCTTATCGGCACCCGGCCTAGGGCCGCCCCGTTCAGCTCGAGATGGGGCCCGGAGCCGCTCCAAGTACGACAAAGTGTGCCGGCAGATTCACTCTGCGTTTCCCTCTCTCCAGGCCGCCAAGACCATTATCGACTCGAGCAAGGGCCCCGCCTTCGTCCTGGCCATGTTCTATGCGTATCAGGACGTTCTCGAGGGCAGATCCCCGACGATGGCGTCTCTCACCGCCATGCCAGACGTCACCAAGCACCCCACTCTGTTGGCGAAATACTTGCTCCAGTTGATCATCTACCTCCAGCAAATGCCGCCTTCATTGGACATCTCTGAGCTCGAACTCAGCCTGGGTGGCTCCGTCCAGGATAAGATGAGCGAGTGGGTTACAGCAGCCAGCCTGGTCACTTCCAACGACGAGCTCCTAGGCTCCGCGGAAGGCCTGGAGTGCCTGATCCTCCACGGGTTCTACCTAATCAACTCGGGAAATCTCCGAAAGGCGTGGCTCGCGATGAGGAGGGCACTGAGCATGGCACAGCTGATGGGCATAGACACGGATGGCGCCCGTTCCATGAAGTCGTGCGACCCAGCAACGGACCCGAACACCATTCCCACCTCCCAGGTGCTGTGGCATCGCATCATCTTCTGCGATCGGTACATCTCCCTCCTCCTTGGCCTCTCGGCCGGGTCGCAGGATAACAGCTTCATGTCGGACGAGTCCCTGGCCAGGGACACGGCCATGGAAAGGCTGGAGAAGAAATACTCCGCCATTGCGCTCCAAATCATCGAGAGGAACCGCGCACCGGCCAATGAAGCCTACGCCATCACCCAGTCGGTCGACTGCGAGCTCGAAAACGCTGCCAAGGCCATGGGCAGGGCGTGGTGGGAGATACCGTCCCTCCCCGATAGCACCGAGACATTGGCAACCATGGGCACCATGTCGCACCTGATGCTCCAGATCCATCACCACACCCTGCTCATCATGCTCCATCTTCCTTATATGCTCCGTAATCAGACAAATTGCCGGTTCGACTACAGCAAGAACACGTGTCTGGAGTCGAGCCGGGCGGTGCTGAAACGCTGCATCATCTTCCGAACGGCGAACGACGCGGCCTTTTCGTGTCGCCATATCGACTACTCGTCGCTGACGGCTTGCATGACGCTGCTGCTCGGGCACCTCAACCGCCCTCCTGGCGTTCGCGAGGCAGACTGGTCGCGACAGCGGAACGAGGACCGGGCCTTGGCCGAGACCGCCGTGGCCACGATGGAGAAGCTGGCCCTCCTGAACGACGACAAGCTGTCGTGCGAAAGCGCCGACATCATTCGCCAGCTTCTCCCCATCGTGGACTGCTGCAGCGGCGCCGACTCGTCGGGCTTCGCCTGCCCGGCGAGGAACGTGCAGCTGACCATCCCGTACCTCGGCGTCATCAACATCAACATGACCGCGAACCAGGCTTGCGAGCCGCGCGCCGTCGACCTGACCCACTCGCAACTCCCCACGCCGAGCAACACCACCACCGTCTCGTCCGACGCCTACCAGGAGACGCCTCCGCCCGCCGCCCTTTCCATGGAGTCCTTCCTGGGCGGCGCCGACACCACCATCCCCCACGAGGACGTCTGCTCCGGTCTCAGCGCCGACTACCTGGGTGGGTGGCCGTGCCCGAGCATCACCGCCGAGGCCGGCGACTGGACGTTCCAGGGTGTCGACACGACGTTCTGGTCCCTCCTCAACTATGGCGTTGGCATGTCCTCCGACTTTGCGCGAGGAGACTAGACTTGGACTGGGTTTCAACATGTCTCCAATTATGGGTTCTCCCCCACGGCGCAGTATATTAGGTACTCTGCTAGTAGGGCTATCAGTGGTTAGAATGTGCCAGGTTAGGGTTAGAGTCAACGTGAGGCAAAGTTAGCGTGACGGATTATAGCATTTTCTGGCCGTCAAGAATGGATGGCTGTGACGATAGCGATGCTGCCAGATGCAGCTATACACAGGCAAGATACTATAAGTACACTGGCAGTTCACCCTTCACCCTCGAGAGGGGGATTGCGCACACGGCTATGCTTGCCGATCTAGAAAACCACAGCTTTGCTTGAAATGTTTTGAACACCCATTAATTAAAGCAACCAGCTCCGCGTAGGAGCTCTCTCCGCAGAACTGACCTATACGGCTATCAAGCTCCGACCAATGCGAGACAATGATGGTTCTTTGCACAGATCAAATGGGACGAAGTAATATACTCTTGACTACGTCGGCATGGGACTCGCGCTTGGATCGAGATAGGGGCACGCATACCCTTGCCGTCGCTTCCTAGCAACTGTCTTCAAAACTGGAGCAAAGGAGCAAAGGAGGAAGTTATTAAAGCTGTGTAGCAAGTTGAGAACATGGACCATGGGCGGCTATGGTTAATTACCGCCCCCATGGTTCCAATATTACGGTCCGAGTACGTGGAGGCACATGTGTAGCTAGGACCGACTGGGTAACCGTGCTGTCACAAAATAGGATGGCAGACGCTGAGCAGCAACAGGGTTTGAACTTGGTAGTCTCATCCAACTGATATTTCCATCCCTGCCAAGCTGCCGAGATACGTCTTGGCTCGTGGTGTCCCGCCCTTTGTGGAGGCTTAGAGTCTCCGGCTAAAAAAAGGGGCTGACGCAACTCCTCGCTCAACTCAACACAGCCCGGCTATTGTCCCGTTTCTCACGTCCATGTCTGTTGTCGATGACGAACGGCGCGTTTACCTCAAAGTCGGCAGGTCGTCCACTTGCACCAGGACACCATTGGCCAGCTCGCAGATCAATTCCCGAAAGCCAAAGACGCAATCATGGGGAGTTGCATCGAGACCCGAGACGGGATAGCACCATAGATCATGCGTATACGTCAGGCGGCGACATGACTCGTATCTGTTGCCGCAGCCCAATCAGCATGAACGTTGTAAACGACGTATGGAGCCGGAGGGTCACATTGAGGCTCAATAGGGGGTCACCGCGTCACCAACAGCCAATGAGCTCCGTCTCCAGCTGTAAAACAAGATTGAGCTTGATGCTTAAACATTGTGTTATCGTAGCGCCATCTTCGCTATTCTGCATACAGTGACATGCCGAAAGTCTGAAGTCAACCACTTAACCACCCCCCCCCCCCCCCTTACCACATGACTTCAGACTTTCTGTATGTCACTGTAACATGAGATTGATTGAAACCGTTTCCCCGGGGAAAGATCGTTAGGCAAGAGAACATAGCATGCCGCGTTTCTTTACCACCTACAGAGTGAATCAGCAAGAGTATGCCCAATGTCATCAGACGACTCCCCTTTATGGCTGCCCTTATGGCTGCCCTGATTTGGCACATATTCCTGGTTGCAAGCCATGGCACGTTTCGGCCATGGTCCGGATACGCGTGGAACCTCCTCCACCGGGTCCGCTCCGCTGTGCCGCGGAGGTTTGGATCCAACCCGCGGACTGTCATTGGAGAGATAAAGAATAACGTTTCTCCACCCCTCCCAAGAGCGGATCAAACCAGCAAGATACGCACGCAGTAAGGAGTCTCGCGGTCCACCAATTTCGGACCAGACTCCTTTTGGGTTGCAAAATGGCGGACCGCGCTCGATAACCTTGCATAGCGCCAGGAACATGTGGTTTGTTCTTGGGTGCGCCTCCGGTGGTTGGACGTGGGGTATTAGGCTGAGGGTGACATTGTGGACTGTTTGATGGATACGATACCTACCTAGCCTGGTTCTCTCCTTCATCAAGAAGCCTCCCCTCTTCAGAATCCATCTTTGGTTCGTCTTGTTTCCTCTCATCGCCCTAGTTGGCATCTACAGTATTATACGTTGTATTAACCAGCTTTACCTCCATTTCTTTTTAAATCATAAGACCAATACGTATTCCGCCGGAGGATCGACAACCCAGCAGCTCGATCCAAGATAATAGAAACAACGATGTCTACCGCTCTCCTTTCCCTCATTGGCTTTGCCGCCGCAGTCTTTGCGGGCCCTCTCCAACCTCGCATACTTGCCGCCGATGACGTCGTCTTCCTCAACCACGATGGCACCTCCCAGATCATGAAGGCCGCCGAATACGAGGCCCTCGAAGCAGCCGCCGCCGCCGCCGGTCCCGGTCCCGCTTCTTTTCCTTCGCTCAACATCACCAGCACCCCCGGCATAGTCCGGCGTCACTGCGGCCAGAGCAACGAAGTCCAGGTCATGTCAGACGAGTCCTTTGTCGACTCGGACGTCGCCATGTCTCCAATCGTCTCATCGGCGGGCGGCGGGGCCATTGTGAGCGTCGAGAACGGCTTCCAGCTCTCGGAACATCTGAAATTCCATGGCGAGATCACCCTCGGCGGCCCCAAGGTCGTCCGCGTATCGCTCAATAAGAAGTTCGACAAGACGTGGACAACCACTCAGACCAACACGTTCAGGTACTCGTTGCCGCCCAACATGTACGGCGTCATCGTCAGCCAGCCCTACGTCCGCCGCGTGCAGGGCGTCCTGCTGAGCGGCTGCACGGACAACCCTACCAGGACTCCTTTCGAGGCCAAGACCTACGAGAGCCAGAGCTACGGCTCGCTCACTTGGGTCAAGGGCGTCATCCGCATGTGCAGCAGCGAGACCTACCCCGTTCCGTACTGCATCGGCGACGGCCACCACGCATGAGCCGGACCATCTTAGCGTCGAGGGTTTCGGGAGTCCTGGCTGGAGTCTTGGTCGACGGCTTTCAAAGTGTACGACCAGCGGCTTTGGAAGGCTACCAAAAATCGGCTTTTCGATACAAATGAACCGACAGTATTACACCCGAGTACGGTGTTCATCGGCGGTACTTGCGCACCATCAGGGTGTCGATCTTGGACCGCCAATAACCTATTGGTAAACCCATACCTGCCGCAAGGCCTTACCGCGAAGGCCATTTATGGTTCACTGCTTTCTGCCATAGCAGATTGAGTTCGTCCTTTGCCTCGAGTAACGCGTCGAGGAATATGCGGTTGCCTGTATGCTCCAGCGGATCCGCATCAGACACCGAGACCGGCTTAATTCTTTCATCGACTTCGTCTCACGATCCCGCTGTAGGATCTCGCCCAGATTGGGTACCAGAGGCAGTTCGAACTGGGCGCAGCGCCTTTTGATCAGACACCGGACACCTGACATCGAGGACCGGCGCTGATGTATAAAACATCATGACACAGAACGCCACGACGGACGTTGTTTCCTGGCGTGGATGTGGGCGATACGGTCGGCGTGTGAACCCGCGGGGTGAGAACACAGCTCGAAACAGGAACCAACCAGGAGAACACTCTGAATAACGCGCGCGAAAGCGTCTATGTCAACAAGGACAGGTGATGTGACGTTGGGCGGGGTAGGGGAGAAGCCGTATAGTGAATGCGGCAAGAGACACGAGTCACGGTCTCGGAACATGATGAGGGCCGGACACACATCGTGAGGTTTCCGGTACCAGCTGCGACTTTCCCGGCTACCATCCCAAGTGCGCCCCTTTTGCAAAGCGGGGTGGCATCAGGAGAACTTAAGCTTAATAGGTTTTTCTAGTATTTAGCCATTTTTATAGTTTAAAAGCGTAATACAGGACTCTAACCTAACATTACAAATCAGTTCTTAAGCGTTTTATATGCTCCCAAAGTGAGGACGAGCCTTCGATTAATTGTACAGACCCACAAGCCAAAGACTCTTGTAAGCGACATGCTCAAAGTTTGTCAATGATCTGAAGAGAATCAATAGACCTTAATCAGCAAGCAATGGTTTGCTTCGTTCTTTGGCAAGCGGTCCATTGCATCTGCCATCTTTGCTTAATTCCGGAGGACGGCGAGATAAGAGATGTAGAGATGCTCCAACAGTAGTTTGTGATAATGCACAGGAATTTCGTAGTTTTCATTGATCAAACACCTTTGGCTCTCCTGGCCCTAAATCTTGGCTTGCGATCAATGTGGGCTGTTGAAGTTTTGCCTCGCCTACATTCTTCATCTTAAAGCGGCGAAACCCAGCTTACTCTTCATTGACCAGGATATATGC